TGTTTCGATTCAATAATATTTGGTATACATTATTTTAAGAAAACCAGAGATAGATAGACGTTTAGCACATTGGTTCTTATCCTTTTTGGAGGTACTGGGCTCTACTAGTTTCACATGCGCATTCACTGAACCCCCCTTCTTAATAGTTCAATCGTCCGCACTGACAAAATTCGATCGTGAATCAAATGACTCGGGTGTGTGTCTGGACCCCCGCCAAACCCCTGGGGTTCGATCGAACCCAAGTTAAGCACCACTGGTTTAACATATCAGTGTGTTCATAACATATCGTAGACAAAGGATTAGCGTTTTGATCTGCAAGTCAAAATGTTAACCTTGACCTAAGCAAAGCATACAAATAAAATGTGTAACTGTGTTCATATATGTGGCACACCGTCTAACCCCCCCCCCCTCTCATGCTCCGACCCCCACTACAACTGTTACACAATTAGGTGAAGGGTTAAAAAAATTACATCATAAGAGAAAAAGAAAAGTCATTCGCCCCGAAATCTGAAAATGTCAATGGGCAAATGGGCTAATGATAAATCAGAACATTTCCCTTGTTGTTCTTGATAATTGAAATGAATATGATTATACGTACACCATTAAACATGGCGGCTTTATTCAGGGATATCTTAGTCTGGTACATATTCCCTTTGAGTCAGGGATCAATGAGTTTATATATATATATATATATATATATATATATATATATATATATATATATATATATATATATATATATATATATATATATATATATATATATATATATATATATATATATATATATATATACGTATATATATATATATATATATATATATACGTATATATATATATATATATATATATATATATATATATATATATATATATATATATATATATATATATATATATATATATATGTATATATACACATGTAAAAATATCGCCCACGCTAGCAGGTGTTCACCATACTATTTTATTAATTGCACAAAGTCCGTCAAGTCCAGGCAATACATTATTTTTTTAAATATATTATTAATAACAAAAATTAATTACTGGGATGGCTATAATATAATGATAATTAGCAATCAATTCTGTAAATAAAATAACACCTGGACGGAAAAAGCAATACCAATTGACGTTCAGACAAGTACAGTTTTGACATGCGTAAAGTGAGTAACTATTCCAATTAAAGTGTGTGTGCTAATGCATGTTTGTAATGTGACACCATGTAGGCCTACATACACCTCGCACCAACAGCATTCATACCCTCGTTCTCTTCGCTGCCAAACCTAACCTCGACGGGATGGTCTTAGAGTTAGACATTAGCACCAGACATGGTCCATAGTCGAGTGACCACTAGCTCTGGGAACTCAAGCAATCCATAGCTGGTTGACCTGTGTATACGCCAACGTCAACTGTGCCCCCCTTTGCCGTATGGTCCCACAGCTATATGACTCCTATGTGCAACATCCCCATGGTTGCATGTCTTCATATCTACGTGATGATGTCTAGCTGCACGAGTCTCTTTGGCTGCATGGCTCTAGTCTCTTGACTTCCGCCTCTTGGCTTTGCTGCAATGTTATAGCACTTTGAGTCGGCTCTTTAGGTTGGTTTACTGGGTTGGCTCACAGAAACTGCTTGTGTTGGTTCATTTATTGGCTCACTAGTTGGCTTATTGGGTTGGTTCATTGGGTTGGTCTACTGGGTTGGCTGACTGGGTTGGCCCATGGGTTGGCTCACTAGTTGGCTTATTGGGTTGGCTCACTGGGTTGGTTCACTGGGTTGGTTCACTGGGTTGGTTTACTGGATTGGTTCACAGGGTTCATAGAGATTGCTTGTGTTTGCTCATGGGTTGGCTCACTGTGTTGGTTCATTGGGTTGGTCTACTGGGTTGGCTGACTGGGTTGGTTCATTGGGTTAGTCTACTGGATTGGCTCATTGGGTTGGCTCATTGAGTTGGCTCACTGGGTTTGCTCACTGGAATGGTTCACTGTGTTGGCTCATTGGGTTGCCTCACTGGGTTGGCTCACTTGGTTGGCTCACTGGGTTGGCTCATTGGGTTGGCTCATTGGGTTGGCTCATTGGGTTGGCTCATTGAGTTGGCTCATTGTGTTGGCTCATTGGGTTGCCTCACTGGAATGGTTCATTGGATTGGCTCATTGGGTTGGCTCACTGGGTTGGTTCACTGGGTTGGCTAATTGGGTTGGCTCATTGGGTTGGCTCACTAGGTTGTCTCATTGGGTTGGCTCACTGGGTTGGCTCACTGGAATGGTTCATTGGATTGGCTCAATGGCCCGTGTGGTATCTGCCTAACCCCAGCTCTCAGCTGAATGACCCCTGGCTCAACGGCTCCCACATAAGAGCCATAGTATCGCTGGCCTTGGCTTATAACGCCTGGTCAAACATACACCACTTACCGGGTCACTACCATCAAGCCACATCAACGAATCATCTTACACGGCTCTTTCTTCTTCAGCTCATGACCCTTCAGCGTACTGCCAACATTTCCACCAACACATCAGTAATATCCTTTACATTTACATCAAATTTTAAATAAACATCATTCTACTAGTATTTCCCCCCCCCCTGTCAATTACCCCCCGGACATTCCCCCCACCCCCCCGACATTACCCCCGGAGTAATTACCCCCCTGTCATTACCCCCGCCCAGTAGGACATTACCCCCCCCCGGACAGGGTTAGAGTTAGGGTTAGGGCTAGGTTTAGGGTTAGGGTTAGAGCTAGGTTTAGGGCTAGGGTTAGGGTTAGTGTTAGGGTTAGGGTTAGGGTTAGGGTTAGGGTTAGGGTTGTGTCTAGCGTTGGTTTTTGTTTTGTGTGAAGTTTTAGACTAAGGTGGATGCTTAGGTTTTCGTCTTTTCCTTAAGGTTTGGATTAAAGTAGTTTATAGGTATAGAATTTTAATGAGAGTTAGGATTCTAACTTGAGAGCGGGGGGGGGGGGGGGGGGGGTAATTCTCCGGGGGGGGGGGGGGTAATTGACAGGGGGAGTAATTGCTCCGGGGGGTAAATACGAGGGGATGTCCGGGGGGTAATTTCCGGTGGGGGGGGGTAATGTCCTGTAGCCAATTCTTCTATATCAAAAATAAAAACAAACATCATTTTATCATTAACATCATTTATATCACATTTCTAACAAAACATCATTTTACCAGTATCATCATTTATATTTTCAATAAACATCATTTTACCAGTGTCATCCATTATATCACATTTTAAACAAACGTCATTTTTACCGGCTTCTTCTTCTTCTTCGTTCTTAATTTTTTGTGTTGGAGGGGATCGAGCCATATTTTTCCTAGCAACATCATACATATCACATATCCAACAATTTTTTTTACCAGTGTCATCTATTATATCGCATTTTAAACAAAACATCATTTTACCATTACCATCCTTCATCTCACGTTTTCTACCGAACATTTTACTCAAACTATTCTACAACTTTTTTTTTCTATTTTCAAAACCTTGAAAAGAAAACATCACCATGTCTATCTCTACGGTATATGTAAGCCCGTACTCACGTATGTATGTATGACTGTAAGTGTGTATGTGGCGAGCAAACGATCGCGCACTTTATCCAAAGAGGTCTCGCTTACATAATGACACAGCGGATGTTAATTATTTTCCTCATAGCCTTAATTTAGGATTGCTTAATTGGCTTACGTTGGACACTGTGTGTGTGCGCGTGTTATTCGGTGTGAGTACTAACACCAGCTGGTGTGTGCTAGGCCAGTGGATGCCGAGCCGTAATTAGTCTACTCATTGGCGGAATAACAATGAGTAACTGAACTTGGCCCTGTGGTCTTGTGTTGTGTGGGGTATTCAAGTGGCGGTGTGTGGTGTTTTTTTTTTGTAAGATATTCGTGGGATTTGTTAAGTATATGTGAGGTGTTCCGTATAACATTCAAATATTCAATACTTTCTGTGGCTTATTTGTATGGATATTTTTTGGAATATTGGATGCTTCCGGGATTTTGCTTGACAATGTCGGATTATAGTTTTGGGATATTTGTTGGCTGTATTGTGTGATAAAAAAAAGAAGGTGCATGGTATAATCGTTTGTTATTTTTCGTAAATTTAAAGGATATCTTGTGTAACTAACTGGTCGACAGTTTTATGGGATAGTTTAGGATCTGTAGGAGATAAAATGTACGATATTCTTTTGCGTGTATTTTTTGATGATCGTTTGTGATGTTTGTTAATTCACTTGTATAGAAATTAAATATTATATAGGATTATCCTGGAATATTTTACAGCTTTTACGGATTATGTGACTTGAGATATGTTAATAAGACATTTTTGTCGGACCTTTTTGAATGATTATCCAACACTTATGAATGAGATTTAATGATGGATAAGTATATGATAATCTTATGTGTATAAAAAAAAACTATAGTACAAATTACCTCCATCGAGAAGTTCAAATTTTAAATCTCATTATAATATTTAATCATGATCAGCTGGTGCTAATTTATTGATAAGAAATTTCACTCCGAGTTTCATTTTTATCACAGAAAACAGTTGGGCAATCCAATAATCTATTTTTTTACTTCTTACTTCCCTTTAATAGAGTTATCGTTCCTAGCTTCACAGTTTCTTATTAAATTAAATGTAATCCGGCTATAGAGGAGAGAGAGAGAGTTGCGCAAAGATTTGTTTGGTTTTTTAAATTGTTCAAACAAAACAAAAAATACAAGCCCTGGAATTCTGGAATTCTATCGATCAAAACATTTTAAAATATTTTTTCATGAACGTAATTATTGTCTGGGTCAATTGTGTTCGGGGAAAAAATTTTATGGTTTCATGAGTTTTAGATTTTTTGGTGTGTCTCATATTTTGTTTATTAATTAACCCTAGACTGTGCTCATTGGCGAAATATTCAATTAGTGTTGATTATATTCTTGGTGTGTTTATTTTTAAATTAAATTATACCTTAATATTTGGTGATTTAAAAGTATATTTTTGTGTTATTGAAATTAATGCAGAAAGACAAATGGACATGTTTTTCCTGCCCACTAATCATTTGTGTGGTGTAAACTGATATTGAAAACTACCGAATGTTTGTATATATTTCTGAAAAAAAGGGATATTTTTAAGCTATGGAAGTAAACAGTCTCATAAAGTCTATGCGGAGAGATGGTTTCTTCCCATAATGCACAGCGGCTGAGTGTAACCAATCCGCGATCAGTTTCCGGTGGGTCACGTGGTCTCGTCTGACATGAACGCCAAGTCACGTGCAAAGAAAACCAACGCGAGCCCGGACAAGAAAAAAACCAAATCGGTTCTGGCCACATTCAAACAGGCAACTCAAGTCTTCAAGCCGGCAGAGGAGGAAGAAAAGAAAGAAACCCTGGCCAGTTTGGCGGCCAAATACAGGGCGGGCTTAGAGCAAGAAGAAGCGAAACGTAAAACGGAAATGGAAGAAAAAGAAAGGGCCGCGGCTGCTGCTCTTACGGCTCCGGCAGTCGACAGTGGGTCTCAAACTACTGACGGGAATTTGAAGTCTTCGGTAGCGGGTAAAAAGAAACGCGCCAGATTTCCCGCGTTTATGAAAAAGCGCGGGAAAAAAGACGAGCGTGCCGGACCACGTGCTAGCGTCACGCTGGACACGTTTGGTACTTCCGGTCATGCTGAGCCAGGTTCCAGGAGCTTCCCTGAAACCAGACTCGACCTTGGAGAAAGTTCTGGAACGGAGGAGGTCAACATAGTGAGTTGGTCGTGCCTGTTAAGAAAAGGAGTGGGGTTTTTTTGCTATGCTAATGTGGTACAATGGCGATTTAGTTAGAAAAATTATATGAACGCTGAAAGAAAGTATAGTATCGAAACGTGGTACCCTCCCCCAACTCCTCCCATCTCACCCCCCCCCTCACACACACACACACGCACACACACTGTCCCTGTAAAGTTGTATGTAAAAGTATTGCTTTAATTTTGTTTTCCTTTCTGTAAAATTCGTATTCAACAATCTCATTTAGTAAAATTGTAATCAATTCAAAACGAAAAAAAACTAATTTTGTTCTTGTTGTACCTTTCTGGGATAGCTTATAACTTGACTCAGCTAAAGTGAGTACCTTGCTCTAGTAATGGATATCACTGGTCAACGTAGTACACTAAATCATAATGGTCATAGTTGTTTATTTCATTAGAATATTTAACCTTGTTTAGTTTAGGCTTTCCGATACAGGGAAAAATCAACGGTTAGGGTTAGGTTACGCAACAGACTTATTTTTAGGATAATGGTTAGATAACAGGAAAGGGTGATTAATAATGACCATATTCATACTATACACAATGTTTTGTACTATAAAAAAATGTGTTTATTGGTCAAATGAAAAATGACTTTTTTTAATGCACTTGCAACACTGAACCCTGTGATGATATGAACAATTATGAACCCTGTCACAATGTTGATGTCTTCCAGCTTGAAACCCTTGATAATAACAGTGTCGTACATGTTCAACCCTGTCATCATAAACAACCCTGAACCCTGTGATAATGTTAATGTAAACAACCCCAAACCCTAATATCAATGTAAACAACCCCAAACCCTATTATCAATGTAAACAACCCCAAACCCTAATATCAATGTAAACAACCCCAAACCCTATTATCAATGTAAACAACCCCAAACCCTAATATCAATGTAAACAACCCCAAACCCTATTATCAATGTAAACAACCCCAAACCCTAATATCAATGTAAACAACCCCAAACCCTATTATCAATGTAAACAACCCCAAACCCTAATATCAATGTAAACAACCCCAAACCCTATTATCAATGTAAACAACCCCAAACCCTAATATCAATGTAAACAACCCCAAACCCTATTATCAATGTAAACAACCCCAAACCCTATTATCAATGTAAACAACCCCAAACCCTATTATCAATGTAAACAACCCCAAACCCTATTATCAATGTAAACAACCCCAAACCCTATTATCAATGTAAACAACCCCAAACCCTAATATCAATGTAAACAACCCCAAACCCTATTATCAATGTAAACAACCCCAAACCCTATTATCAATGTAAACAACCCCAAACCCTAATATCAATGTAAACAACCCCAAACCCTAATATCAATGTAAACAACCCCAAACCCTATTATCAATGTAAACAACCCAGAGCCCTGTGAAAATATAAATATCAACAACCCTGAACCCTGTTTTGATGTAAATGTCAACAACCCGGAACCCCGTGATAACACCACTAAGATACCTGTATTTTCACCCTTGACCACAGGACGGACCCGAAGAGAACACAGTCCACGTCAATCTACGGAAAGAGGACAGTGGCTTGTACTTCAACGATGGACTCCGGAAAATTGGTGAGTTCGGTGTTTTTTCAAAATGTCGGTAACAATTTAATTTTTGGTTTTCTTTTTACTTTCTCGTATAGAGAAAGTCTTGTAATCGTGCAAAAAAAAAATCGAGATTTTTACAAATCTCGACGTTTTACATCTCACTGATACGGAAAAACATAATTTTGCAATCTTGTCCGTATGTCTGTGTGTCTGTCTGTGTGTCTGTCTGTATGTAAACACGATAACTTGAGTACCGTTACAGCTAGGTTGATGAAATTTCATATATAAGTATTTTATCAAAATCGTAGATCCAGATCAACTTTTGAGCGATTTCCGATAACCGGAAGTGGTACTTTTTCTACTTTGAATTTTTCAAAAGCCTATAACTTGAGTACTATTTGAGATAGATAAATGAAATTTCACATGTAAGTAAAAGATCTAATTCTCTACCGTCTGACAAATTTTGAGTAATTTCCGTTGACCGGAAGTACTAATTTACGCTATTTCCGATTTCTCTAAAAACGCATGTAAATTTATAAAGAACTAATAATATTGCGCACTATTATGCACATTCATTTGGCGTTCACTTGGTGTGCAATTCTTTTTTCTACGAGATTTTATTCTATTTTAAAAACTTTAGGTATTTAAAATGGAGTTCCCATCCCCTGTTGTTTTATATAAGAATATTCGAGAAAGTTTAGGGGAGATCACTCCCGGTTTATTTTTTTCAATATTTGAAAAATTGGCGATTTGTTTTGTTGAAATATTTGAGGGAAACTTTCATTGCGTTCTTTTGTTGAAAATATATGAAGGAAAATTCATTGTTCTATTGTTGAATCATCCGTGAAGAAAACGTGTTGAGTTCTTATATGGAAATATTTTCGTGGAAATATTCATTGAGTTCTATTGGTGATATATCAAAGGGAAAAATTCATTGAGTACTTTTTAAAAATACCTTAGGGGTAAAATTCATTGAGCTGTTTTGTTGAAATATCTGAGGGAAAAATTCATTGAGTTCTTTTCTTGAAATAACTGATGACGTAACGACAGCTGATTCGAACTGTGTTATCTCTACTATCGTCTGCAGACTTTATACTGGTGTACGAGGAGCAGGTGGAAACGAAAAAGTCGGTGTCTGCCACAGAGGAACGGATAAAAAAATGGCGGCAGAAATTTTTTAACAATTTGAAGAAGGCTGGACTTCACATAGAAGAGGTGAGTGGGTGTGTTTTTTTTCTTCGTGGGTGTGACATTTGTTTGTGGGTGTGACATTTGTTTGTGGGTGTGGCATTTGTTCATGGGTGTGGCATTTGTGAGTGTGGCATGTATTTGTGGGTGTGGCATGTGTTTGTGGGTGTGGCATTTGTTTGTGGGTGTGGCATTTGTTTGTGGGTGTGGCATTTGTGGGTGTGACATGTGTTTGTGAGTGTGACATTTATTTATGTGTGTGACATTTGTTTGAATGCCAGGACATTTCTTGTCTCTACTTTAGTCACATAAGTGGTTTGTTAATAAGACATTTTGGTTTCTCTAACAAAGTTCTATATATGGGACGGGGTGGTAGAATGCACAACTGCTAACCCGAAACCAGTAGGCGTCTTGAAGCCCACACAAGTCTGATGGGTACCTGATTCAAGTTTGGTAAACTAAAGCGGATGGGAATAGTGCTGACTATACTATCACTTTCTACGCCGAGGTCATTGAAGTATATGAACTCTACTTCCGCTGCCCACTGTGTCTTGGGCACTAAAGATTATGATTTTCTTTCTTATAATCCCCAACTGCAAGAGATATCTTTGCCAGACATCATATTATTTAATTTAGCCCTTTTTTTCAACTGGCTTAGATAAAGATATGTAATTACACATAATTATCGCTCTTTAAAATTTGAATTTTTTTAATGATTCCATTATCACAAAAGCAATTATTTTTCCTTCCTGGATTAAAAAAAATTGACATTAATTTTGCAAGCTTTAATAGAGATGTTTCAACTTGCCAGAAACAGCTAGGCAATCAATAGTTTGAAGACGAGAATATTAAATAGATCTGTAAGATGAGCATTCATAATTCTTTTCAAATAGATTAAAGTCCAATCTCTCTGGTGTTCGTTCAAAAAAAAAACAGTATCACACCCATGGGTGGGGATTTCTGCTCACTGTGGCGATATGCTTAGGGGTGAGGGGTAGAGTTTCTAACAAACATCTCTGCGGGGAGGGGGGTGCAGCCCCTAGAACGACTAGCACCCCCCATCCCCCCCCGAACTAAATATAATTTATATAGAAAATATGTACTTTTACCAGTGTCCGCTCCCCCCCCCCTGGAAATTCAATTTCCCCCTAATTGCTTAAGGACTAAAAACTCTGCATACTTACCAACCCAACAAAACCCAACCATCCCTCAGGCTATAAACACGAAAAACAACCTTAAAAATACGTTCACGCTTTACAACACATGAGTAATTTGCGAAATAAAATTAATCTATAATTTACGGTATTAGAGTGGGGGTTTAATCGCGTTCAACCTTATGCACAGCTTAAAAAGAGAGATTTGGTTTAACATTTTATTTGTCAGCTGTTGAAAAAGACCATTACGTTAAAATACAGCTTGATTAATGGATGTCATTAAACTTTTATTGCTCTACATTACTCTAGGACGGTCTGGTTATGTAACGGAAATTTAAAGTTGTTTTAAATCAATTTTATTGTCCGTGTATTTATTGCAAGTCAATTGCTGTTATTTAATGACCCGCTCCAATTTGGCGGCCATCTTGTTTGTGTTTTCCCCGTGTTGTTGGCTTTAAAATAGTACACGTACTCAGTGGCGTAGCGAGGTCGGGTGTCACCCGGTGCGGCACTTAATGTTGTCACCCCCCCCCCCCCCCCCCAGAGGCGTAGCGACCCTTCCCGGGGACAAACTTTCAATTTTCGATTTGCACCCCCCCTCAAACTTACGATTTGCACCCCTAAAACACTATTTCAACTAGAAGTAATCACTTAATTAAGTGGAATTATCATTTTTCTCTATATATTTTTGCTATTTTTGGCCTTGGTGTCACCCCCCTAAATGGTGTCACCCGGTGCGGTCCGCACCCCCCGCCCCCCCCCCCTCGCTACGCCTCTGCACGTACTGTACCTGAGATAAAGAGGAGTACATCGGTGGCATTAGGGAAGAGGTGTTGGGGGATGGGGTGGGGGGGTGGGGGGTAGAATTGAAAGTTGTCTTAAGTTAAGGTATTGCGATGGTTTCGATTCATATTTACTAAATTTCAAAACGGTGTATTAAAAAAGATTAATTTAATGTTCTTAAAATAGTTCTAAAACAAATGTGACCCCCCCCCCCCCCCACTCCCACGATGAAGTAATCCTTTCTACGCTGCACGGAACTCACAAGAAACCATAACCGCAGCAGTTCTGATGTCACCCCCATGCGTGAGCACAAGTTTTCTCATTAACAACGACATTTGATATAATGCAGGGGCGTAGCGAGGGGGGGGGGGCGGGGGGTACGGACCGCACCGGGTGACACCATTTAGGGGGGTGACACCAAGGCAAAAAAATAGCAAAATATATAGAGAAAAACTTGAGGGGGGGGTGCAAATCGAAAACTTGAAAGTTTGTCCCCTGGAAGGGTCGCTACGCCTCTGGGGGGTGACACCATTAAGTGCCGCACCGGGTGACACCCGACCTCGCTACGCCACTAATATCAAGGTGGTAAATAATGTGTCCTTTCGTAGACATCTCCAATTCTCTGACTGGCTATTTATTTTGGCTATATGGTTTTCTTCCAGATGTATATGGTTAGATGTATATGTATTTCTACTAAGGAAGCATACAACTTTGATATGGAGGTGAAGGACCATACATTCACTATCTCTTGTTTATAACTGATAATCTTTTCCCGTACGACCCCTAAACACATGGGGCAGATGAAGTAGAGTTCATCTGTTTCAACTACCACAGCTTACAGGAAAATAATATAGTCAGCACTATGGTTTCACTAACCTGAGTGGGGTACCCAATAGAGCTGGGTGTTCTCAGTGCCGCCCTAGAAAGTCGAGCCCAAGATCCGAGCTCAAGCAGTGTTTCTTTCACTTTTTTCGTCAGGAGGGGAGGGGGAGCACTTAAAAAAATTTGGGGGGGGGGGGGCGTACTAAATTTTTCCGGGGAACGGACACTGGTAAAAGTATATATTTTCTATTTAAATTCTATTTCATTCGGTGGGGGGGGGGGGGGTCATTTGATATTCTTTGGGCGAACTCCACCCCCCACCCCCGAAGAGATGCCTGAAAGAAACTCTAAATTCAAGACTTTCGGTTTAGCAATCGGGAGCTCTACCATTCGAACACGCCGCCCATATTATAACTTATAACAACCCTCAAACATATGTCAACCCCCTCTAGTTTTATAGGCCGTAATATATTTCGACAAAACCCTCTATTCACTTAGATAGCTCGCCAAACAGTTGGAATCTGCGTTCCTCTGACTTTCCTACATAGATAAAACGACCCTATTCAATTAACGAAACCCCGACTTCCCAAGTTTTATCAAAAACTACATACTCTTCAACACTAGCGACTTGTTGTGATGTTGCCAATGTTACATAATCGTTAAGACTTTAAAAAAGAATCCAATAAGTAGACCGTAGGAAATGCTTTCTGTTTAATCAATAAGTTAAGTATGCGCCGTTTGTCACTGGGAGGACATTTATTTCTACCGTATTTAAATCAATAAATGCTTGCTCGCTGTGCGTAGAGCGTTTGCTGGTTAGAAACTCGGCATTGCGACATGATTCACATCAATAAATTATATTCTCTAAGCTTAAAATATGTGACTGTTTAACAGGTTTTTAAAAAATATTGCCTTTTTGTGGGTAGTTAGCAATTTTTTTTTTCTGTGAAATAGCTATGCGATAATGGTAGCTACACATCTTGTGTAATGTACTACACATCGCGTAAAGTAGCTACAGTTAAGTGTGAGGTAGCTACACATCTTGTTTGAGTAAGCGGCTCTCTCACTGAACCCTGGCACAGAAAACTGTCCCTGAACTGTCGTTGAACCCTCCCACTGAACCCTCTCAATAAAGCCTCTCACTGAACTGGTACTGACGTCTGTCCATGAACTCTGTCACTGAACCCTCTCAAGGAACCCTCTCAATGAACCCTCTCACAGAATTGAGAGGGTTCAGAACCCTCTCACTGAGCCCTCTCATTGAACCCCCTCACTGAACCCTCTCACAGAATCCCTCTCACAGAACCCTCTCACTGAGCCCTCTCATTGAACCCCCTCACTGTAGCCTCTCACTGAACCCTCTCACTGAACCCTCTCACCAAACCCTCTTTCACTCTCTCCCATGCAGGAGATGGTTGAGAACGACAAGAAGCTCATCATATTCATCAAGCTCCATGCGCCCTGGGATGTCTGCTGGGCCTCTAACTGAACCCTTCCACTGAACCCTCTCACTGAACCCTCTCTCAGAACCCTCTCTCAGAACCCTCCCACTGAACCCTCTCACTGAACCCTCTCACCGAACCCTCACGGAACCCTCTTACCGAAATCTCTCACTGAACCCTCTCACTGAACCCTCTCACTGAACCCTCTCACTGAGCCCTCTCACTGAACCCTCTCACTGAATCCTCTCACTGAACCCTCTCACTGAACCCTCTCACTGAACCCTCCACTGAACCCTCTCGTTGAACCCTCTCACCAAACCATCTTACAGAATCCTCTCACTGAACCCTCCCACCGAACCCTCTCATTGAACCCTCCAACCGAACCCTCTCACTGAACCCTCTCACTGAACCCTCTCTCAGAACCCTCCCACTGAACCCTCTCACTGAACCCTCTCACCGAACCCTCACGGAACCCTCTTACCGAAATCTCTCACTGAACCCTCTCACTGAACCCTCTCACTGAACCCTCTCACTGAGCCCTCTCACTGAACCCTCTCACTGAATCCTCTCACTGAACCCTCTCACTGAACCCTCTCACTGAACCCTCCACTGAACCCTCTCGTTGAACCCTCTCACCAAACCATCTTACAGAACCCTCTCACTGAACCCTCTCACTGAACCCTCTCACCGAACCCTTTCACTGAACCCTCTCACGGAACCCTCTTACAGAAGCCTCTCACTGAACCCTCTCACTGAACCCTCTTTCTCTCTCTCCCCTGCAGGAGATGGTAGAGAACGACAAGAAACTCATCACCTTCATCAAGCTCCACGCGCCCTGGGATGTCTGTTGTGCCTACGCCGAGAGCCTCAGCATCAGGGCGCCATTACAGGTAGGCGTGGTTTACCAGAAACTAATTATCATAATTTATACAGTGTTTTTAAAACAACTCGATGCTTAATTTTTATTTTAAATCACAGCGACATGTGTCATAGTTATGTTTACAGCTTCAATTGTTTATTGATAAAAATTAATACCATCGGATTTGTTATATTACATCGTATATTTAAATAAAGAGCTATATTATAGGGCTATCTATTTGTGTGTGGGGATTTTGTAAGATTTAAAGTTTAGGGTTGAATTTTCGATTAGGACTAATAACGCTAAATCGAAATCCTATCTACGCTACATGGGTGAATTGACGATGAGTGTAATATAGCCATCTCGATGGTGTAAATAACATTTACATATTTTAAATATTTTAAATGACTCTTCGCTAGAGTAAAGACGAAAAATTGTTGTTTTTTTTTCTTGTTAAATTCTCAAGCACTTGACGTGAGCGAAACGCCGTTGTTGTTTTTATTATTTTAAATCTACAACACACTCTTTTTAGCTTTAATTAAAGAAAATTACCTCGCTTTCATTTTCACACACTTATTTTATATTTTGTAATTAATTTTTTGTATTTAAAAAAACGCGCATGTGTGTGACTAATGTATTGATAGCTGTGTACAAAAATTGTTTTAATATAATGCATTAAATTTCTTGAACATTTTCACAGGAGAAAGCACACGTCATTTTTTTTTTCAAAACGTTTATTTTTCGTGACAAGTTATTTCCCTTTTATTTTAAAATGTAGATTTTTTTCCCTCTAAAGATTTTTTTTAAATTAAAAATGCAATTAATGATTTTTTTTTAAACAATGGTTAAACGAATGTCTTTTGTTTAGAACCAACTATGTTGTTTTACCCCCCCCCCCCCCCACCCCCATTTTCGTTTTATTATTATTTTTTATGAAATTTTTTAAGCGAAAACATTACGCCGATTATGTCTGATTTTTTTTTTAATTGACCATTCTATGCTCTACTACACAACATCATTATGATCAAATTTCATCTTGCTCTAACCCTAAATCGAGCCATAGACATAGAGGACAGGCTATTCATATTTGTATTCTTTGTGGCAAGGATTAAACTTAAAATTGTGTGACGTAATGGATGAACTTTTTTAAGCTTAGAAAACAGATAATGGGACTTCAATCTTTATGTGTTGATTTAGGCTTAAAAAGCTTCTTCCATAGAAGTATTTTTTTTTTAAATTCTACCTTTTGTTTTATCACCATAAACCTGTTCTACCCAACCCTATATGATGAACCCTTTATAGCATAATATATATATATATATATATATATATATATATATATATATATATATATATATATATATATATATATATATATATATATATATATATATATATATATATATATATATATATATATATATATATATATATATATCAGCATATTTATCATGTGGGATTTTTAGGAGTGTAAATTACTTGTATTCGTATTTCTTTTTATTTTGTACTATACTTTCACTGTACCTTCACTCCTCCATTTGACTTATAATTCTAGGTTGTGCCAGATAGCAAGGTATGGCTTTCCTCTTTTATTTGAGGGAATACGGTATTTATTTCAAACATTTCACGATCCATTTGTACTTGACTCAATCGTCAGTGATAGTCAGACTAAACATTATTATATAGGTTAGATCTGTGTGTGGTTGCACTCAAGTTTTATCAGAGCAAAATGTTGGTGATTGTATTTTTTTATGTAATAATAGTTTAAAAGAAGTAATTTTTGTCTGTGTGAGTGTAAACTGAAAATCTACACTTGTATAAGCAGTGCTTTTTTTTACCTTGTTCATAAAAGACGCAAAAACTAAATTTTGTTTCTAAATTCTGATACAATTTCTGCGGAAAAAAATCAGTTGTATTTAAATACTTAGTAGATCTATATAGGCCTACTAATTTACTAAGTTGAAATGCGTTAAGTTTAGGAATTTTTCTAATAAAGAAGCACTGATTATGCTATTCTTTAGGAAATTTTCTAATAAAGAAGCACTGGTTATTCTATTCTTAAAATTGTTAAACTGTATCGTAATGTGCGTCTGTTGCTTTCTTTGGTGAATTGATGAACTGTGTTGTTGTTGTTTCCATGGTGACCATGGTGGCAGGACGAAATTCAGGAGCCCATGCCCTTTGACCCTCACAGTGTGTACTTCTGTGAGGTAATCTTCTCTCGGTGTTTGCTATTGTGTACATACCTCTGTGCTTGTGTGTACATAGGCCTTCACTTTATTAAGTGAGGCATCTCTTTTTTTTCTACCTTGTTGATGTAGTATACTATAAACAATTGTGTATGCCCTCCCCTCCTTCATTACCTCTTTCCCCCCAACCCCTGATTCAAATTGGTATTTTATAACAAAATGTATGTCTCCTTTACATACTATACGATATTACTTGTAGTTATAGATGTCCCATCTAAAGGCTGTGTTGTTAGTTAGTTCTTTATACGAATGCCTCCGTTATGTATTATGTGTAGTTTGTTATACTTCAAAACGTGTCCCCTTTGAATATTTGTAGTTAGTTGTTTTTACTTATTTGTATGACTCATCTAATTATTTTTGTATATATTTTCTCATTTAGACGGTGCTCCCATGTACTGTAATCTAAAGAATTATATTGATACCTTATTTATATATTGTTTCAGTTATGTCTCAATAATTGTTATTTGATTAGCATTGGAAGAATATGTTTTAATAACCTTGGTGTAATGGTACTCAATATAAAGAAAGTGTCTTTGGCGACTTCCTGATTTTGAAATGAAACGAAGGCTTTTAAAAAAATATAATACTAACACAGTAGTTCGTGTTATGAAATTAATCCATTCAATATTCCATACTTTTTAAGAAGATCCAGATGTTCAAATTATGTTTTTTTAGTTCGACTTCAATGATGCAGCGTGTAATATACAACAAGAAAGCTTCCTTGCTTCTTAGCTATATTGTTTGGCTAACTTTAACTAAATGTCATCCATCTAAAGAAATCCTAAATATTTTCTGATAATCGTTTGCTGAATAATGTGGTGTTCGTAGAAAAAATGGCCTGTGGGCCGTGGTAGGCTGTCAACTAATATGCGACTTAAAAGAAAACATATTAAAATCATTATATACTTTTTTATATATTTTACAGTTAGACGTACGACTTTCACTACAACAGCAGCATTTTCCTAATCTCTCGAATATTCTGTCTGGATTTATCCCCTAGGGCCGAATTCGTTATTTACTCCTCGCATCTATTTGATACAGGTCGTCCTCACTACCCATTGCTTTATGACTATATATATATATATATATATATAGACTATATATATATATATAGAGAGAGAGAGAGAGACTATATATATATATATAGACTATATATATATATATATATATATATATATATATATATATATATATATATATATATATATATATATATATATATATATATAAAGAAGAATGCCCGTTATGCTTGGCCGATCTTCGATTCACAGAACATAGAAAGGGGAAATAACCAATACAGTGCACAGAACAATTTGAGGATCGTTAATGTAGTAGAAAGTTGAATGAACGATCGCATGCCAACTGTCTGCGTGCTTGAATATTTTAACGTCAGCCATTAGCTATAGTAGTGTAGCCTACATATTATGTTTTTGTGTTTTATTTAACCCTAACAGCTGTCTTCCCTATCCATTACTAACACTGATGTTTACATGCATTATGGTTCTAATTTTGTTTGTATCAATGTTGACTATGTATTTGTTGTAGAATTAGTTTATTTCCTGTTTGTTAACAGAAATTGCTATCGAAGTTGGCTGTGAGTAGAAATAGTTCCTTGAGAACACACGTTATTTTTTCTGAGACCTCACCAGCCGTATTGTCATGATAAAGTATGCATCGTGGTATATTTCTAACAGATTTTCCAAATAAATTTAAATTCTTCCAAGCTGGCATGAAAATAATCACACATGATTAAATAATGACGAATGAGAAATACAATTAGACTTGTTGATGAAAATTGATGAAAATAATAAGTATATACCGAAGTATTAAGTGATGGCATATTATGTATCTCTAATTATCTTTAATTAACTCTATGAGTGTCTTTTAATGTTTCCCCTGTTATAGGGATTGTATTAAAACCAAACAGGCATCCTGTTTTGACCAGGAAAGCTACGAGACTACAATCTATTTGTTTTGTTTTGGACAATTTTTGTCACGCTTCATCTGGTACCATATTGATTGCTACCTAGCTTTTATCTGTCTGACCTACTTATGGTAGCAAAGTAGCTTTGCTTAGCACGACAATTAATAAAACGTCAATCGTAAGATCTATTATCAGCACAAATGTGCATCAAGTAGCCTACATATGAATGAAATAAGAATACAAAATCTTGTTTGGTACCTAGGTGAAAATTTCAGGATTAGATGAATTAGATTAAGAGCAAGCTTCTCTAGAAAACAGCAACGCATTAGCTTTCCTAGAAAAGAAAACATTTCGAAACAAAATAATTGCTGAGCGCTAAAAGTTCTTCCTTATTGACGTTAATTAACTCTAATTTCTCTTTTCATTTTTGCTTAATTAAAATGTCTCTTTCAATTAGATTTTCGATGTTTCATAAACACTAATTATATTTCGACTAAGGAAAACTTTATCTTCAGAATTTTTCTGTCTTGGTTACAGATTAATTTTTCTGTTACGCTAATAATAGTTTCTTTTTGTTTATTGATATGGCGATTAAAAATTTGTTGTAAACATTGCTACATCAATAGAAGTTTTTTTCCTATAATGTATGATTTGTAGGCCAATGCCAATGCACATGAAACGCGTACAGGGTTTTTCAGTAATTAAATTTAGATTTATGTATGTAGATTTACAACTATTACAGGTGATTACTTTTAGATAACGTTTTTATGAAAATATAAAACTTTTTTTTTTCGGAAGTCTTTTTATGATTGCATTTTTAAACATTTGCTTTCTTTCTGATATAACATTTTATTTTAATGTTGATTCTTAGTAGGCTATAAGTTTTCACATTTAGTCGACAGTTGCAACTTCTTTTTTTTTAATCCGACAAACTAAAAACTCTGTCAACGGATGTGGTTAAAAGTTACCACTACTAAAAATGAATTGCCAGTTCTTAAATTGATTTCACGCCGAATTTATTTGCTTAACATTATATTTTGCTAGCCGTGATTTTGATGTCATCATTTTTGTTTAGAATGTTTCATTCTAGTTATAGATGCATTTTTTAAACATTGTAAAAAAGATTGTAAAAAAAAAATAATTAATTGACGCTCTGCTTTTGTGTTTCTGTTGTTACAATTCAAACTGAATATTTATCAATATTATTACCTAAGACCTGAGATTTTATTCTTAATTAAGGGTAAACAAAAAACAACTATCTGGGCATAATGAAATAATTTTTAATAATAATAAATCGTTTTTTTTAACATCAATGGTCTGTCTAGTGAGTTTGACTATTATGTCTGCATATTATTTTAATATGTGATCGATAATAATACACTTTTTTCATGATCTACAAAACAAGTTGGCATGTATGAATAGCATCTTTAAATTTAAAAAAAAAATAATTTAAATTTTATTTTTTTTAAATTCGAAAATCTGGCAACACTTACCTTATTCCTAACAAGTTAAAAAAAAATTAGATCCATTTCTGTTATTTGATCGTAGCACTTGCACCAGATGTCGTTGCTTGCTTGATGCAATTTAAATGTAAATTGAACTGTTTCACTTTCACATTAGCCTCGTTTTCACTGACTTAAATAATTCACTTGTGCTGCAACACAGCTATATCTGTATGTTGTTCCCAGCTAACTCACACTATAATTCATTATACTATTTGGCATTTGCCTATTTGGTAACCCTATTAAAATTTCAACATTGTGCTTATCACCCCACCCTGAAACTGCTGAGACATTTATTCTTTTGTCTTATAGTATATCTAGATCTAATTACTTGATTTAAATTACGGAAGCCTACCTGTAGTCTATAGTAGATCTATTATAGCATATATTTAATTATATTACTAAACTGCAAATTCATAACTCTTATATTTTATTCCATCTTTTTTTTTTTACTATTAATTACAATGTGAATGTGTGTATAGTGTATAGACCTACATTGTTATATATTTAATAATAATATAAGCTTATAGGCTAATATATGTGCGTGTAATAATAGATCCAATCAATTAATATTAACAATCAGGGGCGTAGCGGGGGGTGCGGACCGCACCGGGTGACACCATTTAGGGGGGTGACACCAAGGCAAAAAATAGCAAAATATATAGAGAAAAACTTAAGGGGGGGGGTGCAAATCGAAAGTTTAAGACGGGGGGGTGCAAACCAAAAACTTGAAAGTTTGTCCCCGGGAAGGGTCGCAACGCCTCTGGGGGGTGACACCGTTAAGTGCCGCACCAGGTGACACCCGACCTCGCTACGCCACTGTTAACAATTATTCAGATAATGATGAATTGATTGGTATTAAGTTCCCGCACAATAAAAACAGACTACCTAACTACCAAACCAAGCATGTTTATTGTTAAAACTGTCTTAGTGTCTATAGTCTGAGGCTTTAGACAATGCTACAATGCAATTATAACAATACCATTAGAAAGCTTTGTTTAAATCAGAAGAAGACAATATTGAATATATTATATATATATATATATATATATATATATATATATATATATATATATATATATATATATATATATATATATATATATATTTAAATCTAAATGCACTCTATGCTTACATCTTACAATGACATGCTGTTATCACTCTTATGGCATATTTAATTTAAATATAAGATAAAGCATGAAATATGATAGACCTAGTTATTTTTCAAAAGTTAGCTGTGATCGAGGCTAGGATGTCTCATTTTAAATTTGTTTTATTGTTAACTGATTATATAAAGGCTGTTTACAGAACTATCTTAACTCAAATTTCAATTTTAATCTTGCAATGTAACAGCATATGAAGATACAAGCTGCACTGTATTTTACATTTGGTATTTTTAACTGATAATAAATTAAAAATTAAATAACATAAGTATCCTGTCTTTCTTTACATGAAAGATGCAGTCTTCAAATACTTAAACTATACATTTTATGTTTCAACATCATTGAATATTTCCTCCACATTATTATTACATCCCCTAATTTGCATAATTTACTCTATTCTTTGATGCATCATTTTTATTCCAGCAATATATATGAATTCACATAAATATCAAACACTTTGGTTTTAACTTATCATATACACAATGTATAAAACTTTTAATTTCTGTACTCAAGGCACACCCAAACCCAACAAGCAATTGGTCATCCAAGTTTTTAGAGACCTTCCACATCCCCAATATGATGGATCAAGTAGTTCCCAACATGCCACTTGATTATTATACATGTCAGTTTAAAACTTCAAAGCTAGAGAGGTAGGAGAATTAGATTTTGATTTATCATAAATTTTACTTGTAGGCCTGTATTATATCTGTTCTCTAAAACCAATTAAGGGAATATGGTCTACTACAAGTGTGAAATTTAATAACATTTATTGAAATATATGAGCTGGTATTGTGACTGAGTAATAAAAACAAAAATTCTATTATTATTATATTAAAATCAAATGTTTTTGAAAATTTGTCCTTTGTAGCTTCTGAATTTTTCTGACTCATTAGTTGATGTTTTATTAGATGGAATAGAGTTATTTGTTTGATCCTAAATGAATATCAATCTTCAAGTGTTTAAAACCTCAAGTTTATATTGAGGAAACTTTCTTTTACTTTTTAGTCAGCTAATGTATGGATTTGTTCTATAATATAATTTGAAAGCTTAATCAGTGGGGTTTCATTAGTCAAGGAGCTGAAGGCTTTTTATAAACAAAATTTTTTTATAGAACTTTTAATATTAACCAAGATTTAATGGTAAACAGTAAAAAGAATTAAATCAAGGTTGAATATTTAGTTATCATTATGTAAAACAATTTGGTCAGTTTTTGTGTTAGCTATTCAGAGCTTCTTCCAGGCATCTCCCAGAAAAAATTCTACCACCCCCCCCCCCCCCCCCCGAACGAAATGAAATTTATATAATTTATATAGACAAAATAATTATTTTAACAGTGTCCGCCCCCCCCCTCCAAAATTTCAAGTGCTCCCCCCCCCCCCGGAGAAAAATGTCTGGAAGAAACACTGTAGCTATTTATACTTTTTATTGAAAATGTAGCCTACCATATTATAGCTTACTTTATATTTTATTATTACACTAAAAATTATAGAGAAAGAAATGCAACTTTTTTTTTAATTATACTGGTTTTCTTGTGAAGAGAAAAATGTTCCAGAAAATTCTATTATGACAGAGCATTAAATAATTATCTCCTCCAACCGCTCGCAGGTTTTTAGGCAGCGAGAACCCAGACACTTTTTTCGAAGATATTCACAGGCATCGAATTTTATGGGAAATTCTCTCAACAACAATTTACGGCAAAAAGAAAAGAGCTGAGATTGGGGTGGAGAGGTTGATGGATGAACACGGATTAGTTGCTGCCTTTCCTTTACATGATGTGAGGGTTGCTGAAGTTTTACACTATTATGTTGACTTTTCGAGTTAATTTAAAAACACAAGCCTACAATCTGTCAATAGCTAAAATTAATTATTGTTATAATGAATAAATAAAAAACATATTTCAAGTACTTTTGAAAGCATAATATATTATTTAAGTTTTTTTTTTTAATAAGGCAATTATATCTTTGGAATTTGTTACTTCTTCAATAGAACTATTAATCTAAAGCATAGATTAATAAAATAGCTGCTCTATTTAAAACAAAAATGTTGAAGAAAAAAAACAATTTTGATTTTGTCTATAAAAAGCAAATTTATATGTGTATATATATATAACTCTCTCTCTCTCTCCCTCTCTCTCTCTCTCTCTATATATATCTATATATATTATATATATAAGCCTATATATATATATATATATATATATATATATATATATATATATATATATATATATATATATATATATATATATATATATATATATATATATATATATATATATATATATACACATATATATACATACATACATATATAATATATATATATATGTATATAATATACATATATAAATTTTAACATGATGTACACTCAACTTGAAAAGTAGTGTATTAACATGATACTACAATATTGCCAATACAATAAGTCTCTTAAATCACAGGGTTCCCACAAGAACCATGACCGCAATGCCAAACCTGAGACGCTGAACAAAAGACAAGTCCTGTACAAGTACTGGGCTCGATGGGGCTGTTGGTACAAGTACCAACCTCTTGACCATATCAGAGAGTATTTCGGTGAAAAGATTGGAATCTACTTCGCCTGGCTTGGTAGGTAAAAAAAAAATCTGACCTACTGGTTGATTAGCCAACAGTTAATAACCTCTGCTAAGTTTATGGGATTGGTCTGAGTCTACCCAGCTCTGATTAATGCCTGATTGACATTAGCAAAAGGCGGCTGGGCATAACTAGATATTGCATTATATGCAGAGGTCACTGAAACAGGTGAACTCTACTTCAACTGCTTTATGGTTCAAAAGTGTATTCCTACCAAGTACCTTTTTCCTTTTGGTGTTATGCAAAATAAAGACATCTTTGTGTATCTCAGTATCATCATGCAGTTTTTTTTAATTTGGTAGTATTGCCAATGAAAAAACACTATGGGGATGACCCACACTGGATGATGCAACGTAATCCAATCAAACTTTCCTGTCTCTATAACTTAAGAAAGTAAAAAAGCTAATGTTTGTCTATTAAACTATAACACAACTTTTGCTAAGAAATCCATAAAATGAACAATTTAACACATTATTTTCCAAGTAGGCATTTTAAATAGTCCTGAAAAGTAAGAAGAAAAAAAAACATTAATTACTTTATAACTATTGAATCTCTGTTTTTCACATCTGAAAACAAAATTTAAGTTGTCTCCCTTAGCCGAAATAACTGTTAAAATGGGATGCAACTAACACTTGTTTATTTAAAAATCAAACATTCCTTTTTTTTGTTTAACGATGCATATTTGATTATAATTAACAATATCTATATAAATTACATAATAATAAAAATATTCTGTTTACAGATATATGTATATATATCTTATATATATGATGTAATAACGGAGACTAGGCATTGTACTAATGATATGATTATTAACATTCCTGTTTCATACTCTATTTTATTTGCACATCAGGATGCAAACAGACTTTTATTTTTTTTAAGGTTTTTTTTTTTCAAGAAAGTAAAAATTAATGGATACTGCTATTTAACATGTGATATTTGGAAATGTATATCAGAGCTGATAAAATTTCCAAAATTTTTTGCTAGGGTTCTACACAGCCTGGTTGCTTCCTGCTTCAATTGTTGGTGTTCTTGTCTTTCTCTACGGCCTCATCACATTCAATGACAATATTCCAGCGTAAGTCAAGTTTTTATTTATTTTGTATAGAAAAAGAACTCTTTTAGTACTTTCGCGAATAAAATCGCGGTAAAAAAATCATGTTTTTTTTTTATCTGTAGAAAAAACATGACAATAGCTGTTGTTATTTTCTGATCTTTGTTACCTGGCTAAAAAAATTAAAAGTTTTACCCAGATCTGAAGGTTATTTAATATTTATTAAATCTAGGAAAGGAAATAGTTACTAGCAAAAAGTGTTGAATACAAATTCCCCTAATCTACCACAACAATTTTTTATCTAATTCATCTGTGATTAAATTAGTCAGACTTTAATGTGTCATTTTTTTTAATTTTTGAACAATTTGCAATAACAATTCTATTATTTCTTGTAAAAAAAACAAGTGATGATCATTCTCATTATTGGAATGTTGTACTTCATACTAAAATGTTGGAGCATATTTTTAGCGCAATTTCCATACTGACAATTGCGATTATTAATTCGTTATTTCTGGATGGATGGATGGATGTGTGTCCGCAGCTTTAAGTCGTATCTCCTCCTCAACGAAGCAATATCAAGGACTAGTTCCAAAAATAAATATGTTAAGCAAGTTCCGAGGATGATTGTGGGCCAAAAAAATTCCCGGAATTCCTTCCTGGATTTCCCGGAATTCCTTCCTGGATTTCCCGGAAAAGCCAAAAAAAACGCGAAAAAATGCGACTTGAAACATTTACCAATCAATTCCTGCCATAATTTAGAACAATATTGGCGAAGAAAGTTTTCAAAAATATCCTTTCGTTCGGTCACAAAAAATTAATTAAGGAAATTGCGCTTAAATTGTCACTAGACTTTTTATTAACTTGTTTTTTCAGCAAAGAAATATGTGACAGTAACAAAGATTATAAAATGTGTCCGGTGTGTGATGAAGACATCGGCTGTGAATACTGGTACCTCAGTGACGTCTGCCTGTTTGTTAAAATTGCTTATCTGTTTGACCACCCCGGAACTGTGTTCTATGCTGTTTTTGTCTCTTTCTGGGGTGAGTTCTTGCACTGGCTCATGAAGCCAATACAAACAAGTATCATTTAAATTATTTAACTTACATTTTAATAGGAAATTTAAGAACTTGTTTAACTTACATTTTAAAAGGAAATTTAAGAACTTGTTTAAGATTTTACATATTTTGTTTTAATATTTTGCAAGTAGAGTATTTTTAATATCTTTACAAACAGTGTTTCTTTTGGGTATCTCTTCGGACAGTGTATCTCCTGGTGCACGTCCACACATACCCCCCCCCCCCCCCCCCCATCCCCGAACCAAAATAAATAGGGAAAATATATTGTTTAGATTATATAGGCCTATACTTTCACCAGTTCCTCTTCCCCCCCCCCCCTCCTCAGAGGAAAATATTTGGCAGAAACACTAAAACATGTTGAAGATTTATTTTAGACTATCTCTAGATTTCCATAAATAATGTTCTTAAATTATCTTCCTGCTAAAGCTGTGACATTTTTGGAGTATTGGAAACGTAAAAATGCCAGTTTGGCTCATCACTGGGATTGTTTAGATTTTGAGGAGGAAGAGGTAATTACATTCCTGTGTGAAATAATAATGTGTCCTGATTATGTTTTTTTTTTAAGTTAATTGTGGTTTTTAGACACTGATAACATCATTATTTAATATTGTAAGAAACAGTGATAAAATATATTAAATAATTAGTTCACAATTGGTTTTGTAAAAGATGAGTAACTGCAGGAGCAAATTGGTATTGTAATGGTAAAACATTTTAAAAAATCATTTGATGTTTTCTAGAATTTTTTAGAATGTCAATTACGCCACTGTAAATATTTGTAAATACAGGAGAGACCCAGACCAGACTATGCTGCCAGAGCTCCAGAGTTGAAGGAAAATCCCATCACTGGCATAAATGAACCATATTTTGATCCCAGTAAAAGATTTCCCAGAATCCTCTCTGGTATTGCAGCGATAGTCATTATGGTTAGTATCTCAGTTATTCAGCTATTAAATCACAAATTATGGAGACAATATAAAAAACATTTAATAATGTTCAAGGAATGATATTAAAAATAAATTTTAACCGTTATTGTCTAGATTTTTTTTAAATGTAGGAATAGCTGTGAAATCTTTGCCAAATAAACTGAATTATAAAATTTAACAGATACCTTTTTAAATCAATAATAAAATGTATCACTCTTGTCTTATTAGGTCCATTAAAAAATTAGCACTTTACCATTATTTGAATATTTTAAGATAATATTTTTGCGATAAAAGTGTAACACTTTTATAGAATGATAAAAATCCTAAAGAATGATAACTAAATGCTAACTTTTTTTGCAGATGTGTCTAGTCCTCATCTTCATCATAGCTGTCATCATGTACAGAGTCCTCATCAGCATTCCATTGTTTGAAAACGAAAATCTCCGAGCTCGGGCCTCAACCATAGCCAGCATGACAGCTGCTGTTGTCAATCTCATCATCATCATGACCCTAGGGAAAGTCTATGAGAAGCTAGCCTATAAACTTACCCAATGGGGTAAGCTGTTGAAATATCAATTGACCAGACTTGTTTAGAGCATTGAAAAAAATATAATAAAATTTAAGGATATTTTTTAGTTAGTATTAGGAAGTTAATGTTAATATAGTAAATATAAATGAACCTTATTTTAGGATTATTTTAGTTAATATTAGAAAGGTTAATGTGAAGTTGATAAATCTAACATCAAAATTTTCATTTTTCTAATTTTAACTAGCAAATATTAAGACCTCTCAGATGCATATAGATTTTTTTTTTCAATGATAACTTAAATTTAAAACTTTAGTTTCCTCTTGGTTTATATTAAAGTTCTGTGATTTCATTACCTCAGTATAAAAGTAAAAGGGTGTATTTTAGTACCTGATATATTTTATTCCAGAGATGCATCGTACACAGACAGAATTTGAGGACCAGCTGACGTTTAAAGTGTTCATCTTTCAATTTGTCAACTTTTACTCATCCATTATTTATGTTGCATTTTTCAAAGGGAAGTAAGTAATGCAATACAGAAGCTACAATTCCTTTGAGAATAATTCATATTTTTATGAATTTCTTGCACTGCAATATTTTTAGTAGTCTTGAAATTTTACAGAAATCTTTTTTTTTAAATTCATATTTCTCTACTCTGTTATGTAATGAATTTGTTGCTGCAATTTCAAAAAAACTCTTCAGGGCCTAGAAGTAGTTAGTTTCATAAATAGTCTAAATCCCAAGAGTGTTGGAGCCTTATATAAAAAAGAACTTTATTTACTTATTTTTATCCCAGATTTGTTGGTTATCCAGGAAACTATAACAGGTTCTTTGGACTTAGGAGTGAAGAGGTAACCATATAAAAACAATATTTTTCAACTCATATTATCTCACATTCTAAATATAGTAAGTAGTAGTCAGTAAAAATCCCTTTCAAACCTGACGGTCTATGGGGAAAGTGAAGTAGAGTTCACTTGTTTCTGTGACCTCCACATATGAAGGGATAGTATGGTCAGCACTATGCCCAGGCGCATTTACTTAGGTACCTACCAGAGTTGCGTTGGATGGACCCAGGGATAATCTACTGACTTGAATCCGGATTCAAACTTGAGACTTACAGGTTAGCAGTCCAGCTCTCTGCTGCTAGGCCACTCAATCTACATATAAATTCATAGAACTAATAATGTAATCTGGAAATATTTTCTTATTTTTGGATTTATTTTTAGGATATTTGCTTTCAATTATTTATTTTTTAAAATAACTTTTTATTTTAGATCCTAAAATATTTATTTATGGAAATTAAAATATGTTTTAGTGTAACAATGGTGGCTGCTTGGTTGAACTTGCCCAACAACTGGGAGTTATTATGATTGGTAAACAGATTATAAACAATGCTCAAGAAATTATATTGCCGTAAGTAGGGTCGCCACTTTTTTTTTTTCACATTTTTTTCTACAAATTTTTAGCTGTAAATGTCAGTTTAATGCACAACATGAGGCACTAGTAAAACATTAATATTTTGAGATATATGATCATTAGTAAAATGTAGGCCTATGTTAAATATTATTATGAATGAATAGAAAAACATTTTCCTGTTGTATTCTTATTTTAAAATTTTTATTTAGGAAACTAAAAGGATTTTGGCATCGGCTCAACACACGGTTTGACAAGAAAGTCCAAAGGTCAAGATGGGAGGATGACTACGAGTTGATAGAAAATGAGGGTCTGTTTCAGGAATACTTAGAAATGAGTAAGTTAAAAATAAAAAGTTATGATCATGACAAAAATGACACTTCAGTACCATACAGCCATCTTAGTGAGATGGAGCTGGTGCTTCAAGCCTGAGAAAAAGTTCCAGTTTAATGTAGCTGATGAACTACTGGACAAATTTAATCTGTATCACTTGTGTTTAAATATTTAAATGGGATAGCTTTTCATTACAGTGATTGACAGCTCCTAAAATGACCATTAACAAAAAGAAGTTTGTAAATTTACTTATGGTACAGGATTAAATAACATTATATCTTACTAATAGTGAATTTTTATGCCACTAAAATTAATTCTTCCAAAATCAGTGAATTTAGCATCTATTGATAACCTAATTGACTAATGTTATTACATTTATTTTTTACTGTAATTGAACCTTTGTAATCTAATAATCTAAAACTTATATCACATTATATTTAATATGATATAAGAGAGCTGCACACCATGTAGGCCTATGTGTTGGAATAATCAATTGCTTGAGATTATCATAGCAAAGTATTCAAAACATTCAAGCAAGTATTTGAAGAGTTCTAAATTTAAAAATTTTGTTTCATACATTTTCACTGGTTGTGTTTTTATATTTACAGTTCTCCAGTTTGGTTTTATCACCATTTTTGTGGCTGCCTTCCCCTTGGCTCCCTTGTTTGCACTTTTAAACAATTGGGTGGAGATCAGGCTTGACGCCCACAAGTTTGTGTGTGAGACCCGGAGGCCAGTGGCGGAGAGGGCCCAGGACATTGGCGTGTGGTTCACCATCCTTGAGACATTAGCTCAGCTTGCAGTCATCAGCAATGTAAGCCAGTGCTGAGCTTGTCATCTGAACTAGCAGTGAATATAAGTTCATGTGAAGTTAAGAAGGGTGTAATCATAAATAGGAATGAATATAAATTAATGTGGAGTCTGGGGGTGTAATCATAAATAGGAATGAATATAAATTAATATGAAATCAATATAAATTAATATGGAGTATGGGAGAATGTAATCATAAATTGGAATGGATATAAATTAATGTGGAGTAGGAAGGGTGTAATCATAAATAGGAATGAATATAAATTAAAATGGAATGAATATAAATTAATATGGAATGAATATACATTAATATGGAATGAGTATAAATTTATATGGAATTAATATAAATTAATATGGAATGAATATAAATTAATGTGGAATCTAGGAGGGTGTAATCATAAATAGGATTAAAGATTTTTAAACTTTGTATCTAGGAGACTATAATCATGATTATGACTGAATATAAATTAGGTTCACATTAAGGGAGGTGATGTTTTAGTCATGATTAAAATTGAATATAAATTAGTTGGTGTGGGAGAGGGTGTATAATGTTAATTCATTTTTGTATTTGAATTTAAGGAAAAATTTTATATTATCCACCTTTTAATGCATACATGCTCATGTTTAGTAGATGGCATGATTTTTTTTACAATGCCCATCAAAATTTTCAGGCCTTCCTCATAGCCTTTACCTCTGAGTTTCTGCCTCGGCTGATGTATCAGTACCAGTACCAGTGGAGTTTGGATGGGTATACAAATTTCACGTTAGCCGAGGCTCCTAACAATACCCTTAGAGAACCATGCAGGTGGGTGTTTACACAGTAAAAATGATAAATTTTAGTGACATTTTTTTAAATTACTTGCATATTTAGTAAGATGAATTTACTATGTTGAATAGTTTCATTAACAATACTATTTGTCTATGTTGAATAGTTTTATCAATGTGATAAATTTATGTTAAATGTCATGTTATAGCAAATGTATAATGTTGAATGGTTTCATCAGTAATTATATTATCTATGTTGAATTGAATTATTAGGATTTTAGTTAGACAAATTTACTATGTTAAATTTTTTCACCCATATTACTAATTATCTATGTTGAACGGTTTCATCAATATGACAAATTCTTGAATGGTTTCATCAATATGACAAATATACTGTTGAATAGTTTCATCAGTATAATAAACCTACTATGTTGAATGTTATAATAAGTAAGACATATGTTCTATTTTTAATGTTTCAGATATCGTGACTATAGAGAACCTGATGGGAACCATACCATGTTTTATTGGAAACTATTGGCAGTCAGACTTGCTTTTGTCATTGTATTTGAGGTAATGCTCTGTGAATTATATCACTGATCAGATTTTTTTTTCTTTTAATTGTCATTGTAGGCCTACTACAAGAATTAGTTATGAAACCTGTAGATTTGAAGAAACTTTGCTAGTTTAAATATGGTTTGTTATATAATAAATGTATTCGGTTCATGCAACTAAAAAATTGAGAAATTTTTTTTCTTTCACCTGCTTTATATCAAATGAAAAGAAAATTTCCACTAATAGTATTTTAAACAATTTTTTTGTTAAATGTTTTTTATCCTTCATTTCTTTAAGTTTTAACATTTATTAATGATATAGACCATTGTATCTTAAATAAAGATGTCATAAAGGGTGTATGTATTACACCTATTACTTGTTATACATTGAATTTCTAAAGATTTTTACTACGATGGTTTGCATTCACTAAAACTGTTATCTATGAAATAATTGTGTCTTAACCACTGGTTTAATAAATCCCATGCAGCATGTTGTATTCGGCATCTGTAAGATGATTGACATACTAGTCCCAGACATTCCAGAGACTCTTGAGCTGAAGATCAAGAGAGAAAGATATCTGGCGAAACAGGCTCTAGCAGATACAGATACACTGCTGATGGTAATTTCTGTTTTGTAACTTTTTCGGTGTAACATTTCTTAAATAGCTTTAAGTACAAATAAAATACATTTTTTCAAAATTAATTAATAAAATAAAAATAAATAACCAAATTGCTGGATAGAATTAAAAACTACAAAGTTAAAAATTATGAATACAGATCATGATTAGACTAAGCTATAAAGAGAATTTCCCTTTTGTTTTGTTGGTTTCTTATAGATTGGAGTAGACTTACAGAATGAAGATTTTTTACTATTTAAATTAATTTTATTTGAAAATATAGCTATTTAACTAGATTTTGATCAGCTATTCTTCCATTTATAAATTGTTTATTTTTAAAATCCAAATAATATTTGACTGCTAAATTTGCTATTGCTTTTGAAAATTTAAATGCATTCTTTTAAAAACCTATAAAATAACTTTCTTTCTCATTAATTAGATGGCAAGAAGAAATGAATTGGAAGAAGATGATGTAGACTTGAATGTAAGGAAAACACCATCACCTAAAACTTCAGCTGCTTAAGCATATTCAGCATTTCTACCAGTGTGTAGCTCAGTCTCTGCATTTCATAATAAAATCATTGACCAAAAAGTTTAGAAAACCATAACTGATAAGGAAATTGAAGGAACAAAACAGTGGAATAAATACAGCATTTAAGGTCTATTGTGATAGTTATCTAAAACTTATTTTTACCAATATTGTTTTGCATTATTAGACATTATTTTATTGTTCCCATTAATAATCTGTATCATTTTTGTGCTTTCAAAAAAACCTAATTATAAAATTATCTAAATTTTAAAAATAGATTCCTTTTTTATTTAAAAAATATAAACATAAAAATAGTTATGTTCCATTAAAAAGAAGCACTTTAAATTATACCGCAACAATTTTTAATCATGTAGGTTAAGGTAGATCTGATAGCAGAGTGGCTTTGCGCTAAGGATTACAAATAGTTAATTATACATGCTGTTCAATGAGCATGCCTACTTCACACACATTATTTAGTCAAATGAAAATGTTTCATATAATTCCATTGATTGGCTTTTGTATAAAGTTGACATGCATTGCTTAATGCTGTTAATGTAGATTATACTTGATTAGATTTTTACTGTCAAAATTTGATATTTTTATAAATTTATGATGTAAGGTCTATTTCAAACATATTTTGACACAGGTAAAATGAGAAGAATTTGTAGACCAACTTTACACTAAGCAAGAGTAATAAAAATTAATATTCCTGCTTTTGAGAAGGGGGGGGGGGGGTTGAATAATTAATTTATTTCTTGGTAAGCAAACAAGCTCTGTTGTGTTTTCTATTAATTACTTTTAATTAGTTTAAGCATTTTTATTTGTAAAACTTGGTCACAGGCCATTTATCTTGTTAATGTACATGTTTGCAATACGCATGTATTTAGAAGCCAAATAAAGTGTGTTTATAAGGTATATGGACTTACAATTTGATGTAGCGAGGTTATGGTTAGTGTATAAATATATTTCTGCTTAGAAGTTTGCATTTTGAAAATATATTGTCCCCGTAGTTATCTTTTTCAGCTGTGAGGGTACTGCAGATGTTTATGATAAATCTGAGAAATACTCCCCTATTTTAATGGGTTCTCTTTGTCAGTTTGAATGTGTCATACTAAATAGATGGCAAGTGCAATATTTCAAGCTTTCAATATTGAGCTTCTATATTACATTTTATTCAATTGATGTGGTTGAAATAGTTATTTAATTTTCTAGGCCTAATTTTTTTTTTGTTGTATAAAAATATAATGGTGAAATAAATACAATCTAAATGTTTAAAAACATTTCTTAACTAAAAAGAAATTACTCCTAAATATTTATAGAAACAATCTTTTATTTTTATGAAAATTTCATATCGTTATTGCCAGTTATTTCCCCTGAGAAAAATTCTACCTCTTGACTAATCTCCCCTACTTTGCCTCCACCTGGATACCACTTGTTAAACAAATTTACAAATTCAAGCCTGTTACACTAAATTGTGCTAAAATTACATGTGATTTATTAACTCTGCTCTTTGTTTAAAACCAATGTGATATTTAACACTTTCCTTCTATCGTATTATATCATAATCTGCCTTGATGTTATGTACAGTTTAAATCTCTCCTCTAATTTGTCAATTTTATTTACATATTCATGACACTTAAGCTGTTCATATTATATTCACAAAGCAGCAACATATATTTTTCTGTTCATTTAATTATATTTTGAATTTTTTTTATCAACTTGTCTTAACTACTGTACAAATTATTTGATGTTTTTATGCATTGCTTCTACATTGCCTGTTTAAAATATTTTTATATATTTAGTATCCCAAATTTAGGCATGCTTTGAACAAAGAATGGATAACTTCAATGCCTGATGTAATTATTATTGAAGACTATTTCATTCTTTTCTGATCGCTGTACAGATATATTTAATTTCAATCTCTTTTTTTTTCTTTTGAAATTATAAAGATACTAATAATTGTGCTCTAAATTAGTGTTTTTGTTTAATTTATTATTAGTTAATGGATATTTTGTATGACAACTTTTTGTAAAGCATAGCTAAATTCACCTCAAATTTAGACTGGTACTTGCTTGCATATTTTGCACTCAAAAATTTTAAACAAGGCAAAAATCCCATATAATAGTATTGTAAGTTGGCTTAGATTATTACCTTATCAAAAACCCTCACACTGCACACTTACAGTTAGATAATTCTTACTGGTGATTAGAGCAGTGTTTCTTCCAGACTTTTTTCTCCGGGGGGGCACTTGAAATCTTCGGGGGGGCGGTAAACTTTCTTCGGGGGGGGCGGACACTGTTAAAAGTATATATTTTCTATATAAATTATATAAATTTCATTTCGTTCGGGGGGGCGGTAAAAATTTTTCGGGGGGGCAAAGCCCCCCCGAAGAGATGCCTGGAAGAAACTCTGGATTAGAGGCGGGGAGTGCGGACCACACCTGGTGACACCATTTAGGGGGTGACATCATGGCAAAAAATTGAAAATATATAGAAGAAATATGCATTTTGCCAGTTCAATTAATGGTTAATAAGAGTTAATCCACCAGTTCTGATAAATGACTATAGATAGCCATCTTTACCATTATCTGTACACACTTTAAAACTATCACCGAGGGGGGGGGGGGGTGACACCAACTTCAAAATATAGAGAGAATTAAAGGTTTGTTAAGTATTTTGAACAACAGATAGGTCAATCTACGAAAGTAGAGGGGATGACACCAAAATCTAATAACTTACGATGAAAACTATGCTTTTTCCACATAAATAAATAGGTGGATTGTGTGCACACATTAATGCCATTAGGCAACTTGGGAAGGGGATGTCACCAATTGCAATTGCATATTATGTATACATTAATATATATAGGTTTTACCTATATATATATATATATATATATATATATATATATATATATATATATATATATATATATATATATATATATATATATATATATATTACAAAGTTTTTATCCGGGTGGGGGGGGGGGGGGGTGACACCATGAGGTCCCGAAATATAGATTATAGCTAACGATTATATTTAGTAAAATAATTAAAAAGTGGTTAATGAAAGCGCCCGCCAAAAGTTATCTCTAAAGTTCAAAGATGTACGACTAATTGTTGGTGGAACATATGTACTGATAAACCCTTGGTCTTATCTCTATAGTTGAACAAAGACGCAGCACTAAAGCACATTCATATAGATCAGGGGTCTCCAAACTTTTCAGTCCGAGGGCCGCATTAAGTATCAAACTTCAGCTCGGGGGCCAGTTTCTTCCAGGCATGTCTTTGATTTTTCTGAGCGAAGTTCCACAGCAATCACCAACAAACGTTTTTTTTCCGTGGACAAATTTATCTCAGCAGGCCGGATAAGAGGACCTCGTGGGCCGCATCCGGCCCGCGGGCCGTAGTTTGGAGACCCCTGATATAGATCTATGTTGAAGCTGTTGGATGCGGGACACAAGTGTTGAGGCTCATCATCTGATGGAAATGTTGCATATAATTATCATATAAGTGTTGTATACGTTGACAGCTGTCAGTTGCGTTGTGCGCGTCTACAGTTAGTCTTAGTTGTCTTTCGTTTTTTGAGTCTTTATAATTATGATCCACTCAAAAGACGAGTAGAAAGAGAAGCAGAGACTTAAAACATATTTTTATATTGTTTCATGTGTTTGGAACCCAAAAGCTGTTAGTAATCATTGATAACTTTGTAAGAGGTTGGTATTTTTTTCCATTATGTGATATATATATATCGAAGCAGCATTCACGGTTGAACACAGTTTTTTAATCACTAACATTGAAAATGTGATATTTAGGGTCCCTATTTATTTAGCCAGCAGACTCATTTGTTTATGAAGATGTGTTCATTACTGGTTTTTAGAAAAGCAGTTATCCAGGTGAATTGCCAAAATCATTCTTATTAGTCCTGTGCTTGCCAGCAAATTATGGATGTCTTTCCCTAGACTGGTGTAGAACGAAAGGCCGACAAGACAAAAGGCCGACAAGGACAAAAGGCCGTGTCGGCCTTTTGTCCGGATCCCCTCCTAGACGCACGTTATGCCTTCCCCGTTAATTGCTTTTTTTATACGAAACAATAAACTTGCCCAATGTTCAACCCTACATTTTTCTCCTAAATAACAAAATACGTAGCATTCAATTGTAAAACATAAGCCCAGATATTATAAAACTAGCATACTAGTCAGAAATAGCATACACGCGAAAATTGCTAATTACTAAATTACTAAGTTTAACATCAATCCCATCACAATTGAAAAAGTATTTTTTTTTACAATCAAAACTTAAGCTTTCTCATGGGCTAAAATTTTTAAGTATGTGTAAAGACAGTTTGAACAGTGCGGTGATCGAGTCAACTAAAATATGTAGGCATATATATATATATATATATATATATATATATATATATATATATATATATATATATATATATATATATATATATATATATATATTATAGGCTATAAATTTACCAGCGTAAAAAAAAAAATATGGCCCCCTTTCAAGTATTCACCGCTCTCCCAACCTCAAAAATCTGGCTACACCACACTCTCGTGTGTGCTTTTGTTTGCTAATACCTAGCCTAATAACACTCACCCCCCCCCCCCCCCCCCCAACCCCCCCACCATCCCTCTTATTAAACGGTCTGAAGTATACCACTGTGCGCGATATGATGGAAATTGATTGAAACGTCCACTGCAACAGCTTATGTTATTGTGTAACAGAGTCCAGCGCAAGACTAAGTGAAAATTACGTGGGCTGTTGCACTGAAGTATACCAACACAAAAACTCTAAACAAAGCACTTTGGCGTAATATACGGCTTATAAGAGGGAAACACTCTTGGTAATTCAGCTGTTGGTAAGTCAAGGATTAATTTAATATAACTAGTAGTTCGTTTTAAAAATGTAACAAATCTGTTTTGATCTCTGTGGATATTATACTTAATCACAAGTTTTATTTTTTATTTTTAGAAATAGCCTACATTTAGATCTACCTCCGCCAATTTAAGACACGAAGGGGATATATAAAATCGGTGGCCCCTATACATCAAGTTTGATAAACGTAGGTTGGGATTAGTAGTTTTTCTTATTCTTGTTCTTTGAATCTGGAGCTGACATGTCAATATCCTTAATATCATGGCACTAGTCACTTCTGGTCATTTTAATCTTCTGGTTTTTCTCTAAGTTGTGCCCTGCCAACACTACTGAACAATTAGTAGGCCTATGGGGGGGGCAACCCCCTCCTCCTGAAGAAAGTCTAAGCCCGCCCCGAACAAATTGGAATTTATATAGAAAATATATACTTTTATCAGTGTCCGTCCCCGTCCCCCCGTCCCCCGCCGCCCCCGTAGAAAAAAGTCGGGAAGAAACACTGGTCAGGTTTGAAAGGGGAACTTTACTTTTATACGATGTGAAGATAGTCTTTGTATATTTTAAACCCATTCTCTCCTCTTGTCAACTGTCCTCACAAAAAACCGAATCCCATAGTATGATGTGACAAACGTATTTCTATAAGCTAAACGAGAGCGAAATTGCATGCAGATTTCAATATCAAACAGGAACATTTTTAATGATTTTGTTATCCTTTGAAATAGAACCTAATTGTAAATTAAGACAAAGGTTGTTTGCACGTATGAACCAGATAAGCTATCGTAGGTAGGCATAAATCAACCTAGAAAACTAATTTTTAATCAACGCTTTTCACACATTGCCCCAAAAGGATCAAGTGAAATTGGCAGGGCCTAGCTACTTTTTAGCGCAATTTCCATTCTGGACTATTGCGATTATTAACTCGTCATTTCTGGATGTATGAATGGATGGATGTGTGTCCGCAGCTTTAAGTCGTATCTCCTCCTCAACAAAGCAATGTCGAGGACTAGTTCCAAAAGCAAATATGTTAAGCAAGTTCCAAGGATGATTGTGGGCCAAAAAAATTCCCGGAATTCCTTCCTGGATTTCCCGGAAAATGCAGTTTTTGCTCCATATCTCGGCAACCAGACCACTTAGCGACTTGAAACATTTACCAATCGATTCCTGCCATAATTTAGAACAATATTGCCGAAGAAAGTTTTTAAAAATATCCTTTCGTTCGGTCACAAAAAAATATTTACTACTTTTTTAAACTGAGCATCTTGTAGGCCTAGGACGAACATTTAAACTGAGCATCGTGTAGGCCTACTCGTTAAAATAAAACTATTTCCGTTGATATAGGTTAATATAGTTGTCCTTTTTTTAGCGCAAAAAAATATCCTTTCGTTCGGTCACAAAAAATTAAATATTGTTATGGATAACATAAGGAAATTGCGCTTAAATTGTTACTAGACTTTTTATTAACTTGTTTTTTTTGCCTTGAGTAAAGTTGACTTGATCCGGGGTAAAATCTCTATTCAATGTGCTGTAAAACGCCCAAAACAGCGCATAATAAAAATGTGTGTCACAAAAAATGTGCAACTGAAGTTATCAAAAATTACGAAAACTTTGGAACGTTTTAAAAAGAATATAATCTATTCATAGTGAATACAAATAAACAAGGAAATCTTGCACAAATACCAAAATTAGAGATTGGCGTCGTCCATAAATGACGTCACACTCGTAGGGGGGAGGGGGGTCAGTAATTTTGTGACGGTGTGTGATGAGGTTCTGATGGTGCGAAGTCACACTTTTGCATTATATAAAAGCAATGTTAGAAAGCGAATTTTAGACGCTATTTCGCGTTTTAGAACATTGTTTTGATACATTGTAATAGGAATTGATTAAAATACTCTATTTTGACAGAGTTCAGAAAAGATTTTTGAAAAATATCGATGTTTAAAAAAATTCAACTTCAATTTTGAGGGGGGGGGGGGGGGGGGGTGGTTGTAGGCTGAGGTGCGACGTCATTTTAGGGGGGGGGTCTGGCTTCTTGTGACGATGTGTGACGGAGGGGAGGGGGGAGGTAAAAATCGTCAAAAAAGCGTGACGTCATTTATGGATGACCCCTTTTAAGATTAAGAATTACATACACTGGGCACATGTGGAATATGCAAGAGGGATGCACAAATCACAAAGTTAGCGTGTAGTAGAGCATGTCTTGTCTTTTCGCCCCCATGTTTGGAATTTCTTTTAAACATTTCAGTTTATTTGTGTTTTTCACCATTATTTAAATCTCTTGTCTTTAAATTTTAGCTTGCAGTAATAATTCGGTTAAAATACTAAACGAAACTCTGTAATAAAAAAATCTATAGCGTTTTCTGGCTACCACGCTTTTATTTACGAAAGCAAATTAGTGTTGTTTACTTTTTTCAGTGCTAATTATTTTAAAGCTTTTAAAAAAAATATTTTCTCTCCCCCCTCCCCCCACCCACACAATGTTTAGATATTCGTTCTACATGAAGTTGACATCACATAGGCTACAGAGTTTCTTCCAGGCATCTCTTCGGGGAGGGGGGGGGGGGGGGGGGGCACCGCCCCCCCCCCCCCCCCCCCCTCCCCAAGAAAAAAGTCTACCGCCCCCCCTCGAAATTTATATAGAATTTATTTATATAGAATATGGAATTTATATAGAAAATATATACTTTTGACAGTGTCCGCCCCCCCCCCGAAAATTGTTATCCCCCCCCCCCCCCCCCCCGAAAATTTCAATTGCACCCCCGGAGAAAAAAGTCTGGAAGAAACACTGATAGGCTGTGACTGAAAATATTTCATTTGCGTTAAAACCCGATCAGTAAGCATCTAGCGATCGCTAGTATTTTATCTTTTTATCTCCCCATTAAATATTGACTTTAGCAATTTTAAAATTAAATTTGTATGACTAACCTAATGTCTAATTTCATAAAAAATAATATATATTCTTGCTGCTGTGTCTAGTAGCGTAGCGAGGGGGGGCATATGTCCCAGGGCGCCGACCTTAGGGGGCGCCAAAATGGGTTGGAAAAATAAATTGAAAGGTTAGGGGAGGGGGGTGCAAATCGAAAAGTTTGTCATGTCCCCGGGCGCCGGGAAGGGTCGCTACTCCTCTGGCTGTGTCACCAGAGACGAATCAGAATGTATCTGGAAAGTTAAAACGACATCGCTGCATTAATTAAAAGTTGGTCGGAATTAAGTTACAAGATTTACCATATCCAACAAAGTGACAAATAAACGTGCGTTTTGAACCGAACAAAAGCGTTTAGAATGTAGATCTAGAAGATCTATGTTTAATTCTAATATCTAAGTTTGAAAAGTAAAAGCCAAAAGGGGAAAGGTTCAAGATTTATTAGGGCCTATGTTCTGTTTATCCTGTGTTAAATGAAACCTAATCCATAACTGTAAGCCTAGACCTAGAATTATAACTTAATCATGTCGATACCAAATTCGTTTCATTTTGACTTGTTAAATGAATAGAAACCATAACACAACTCTTCAAGTTAGCTAGGCCCTACATGAGATGTAGATCTATATTCACATTGGACACATCCATGTTTTGTTTCATTTTTTTTTTAAATTTTTGTTTCATTTTTTTTAAATATTATTTTCGGCAACTGCACTTACCATCATTCAACAGGGGATGTAATCTACGTTATTTACTATATTTAGACTACTAGAGAAATAAGTAGATTGCCTAAGTCTAAATTAAAATAATTTAAATTAAATAGATCTAGATCTAGATCTAGTAGTCAAGTGAATTGTGTAAGACTACTTTACTTTTGATGGCTTAATTTTAAATTTAGATCTAGATCTAGATATTCTTAGTCTTACTTAAGTTAAAATTTAGAAATTATATTATTAAGTTAAGACTTAAGACTTACAAAAAGTGGTAATCTATCGTTTTGGGTACGTAAAATCGCCCGCGGCTATTTATGTACGAAAACGTTACCTCGTTGTCAAGGCTTTAATAGAAGTATATTGTCATACTTTTGTGTCAAATATTATAGATAAATGAATAATAAACCTAAATCAATGGCTAAATATATCGATATAGGCCAGAAATTAACTTTAAACAGCAGTGTCTGAGAGCAAGATTTGCTATATAAACAGCAGCCATTTGTAAAATAGAGTGGCTTCCCCCTGAAACTGGCGCTAAAAGCTTATAAAAATAAAACTCTGACAAGATGGCTGCTATAGTAAATGAGCATGGTTGCATCTGTTGGAAACATCGCTAGTCTTCATTTATTACGGAAAAGTTTTAATTCAATTGTTTAAAAACAGTTACATAAATGAATCAAGGAAACATTTTTGAATTTTTAAAAACATAAATCCTCCTCAAAATGTGAAATAATTATTAAAATTTAAGGAGTCACCTGTTTTTCACATTACAAATCGCGGGCGATTTTACGTACCCAAAACGATAGATTACCCAAAAAGTGAAAGTGACAGACAAGTTGAAGTAAAGTAGTAAAGTACTACTGTTACAGTGTTACAGTAAAGTTAACTTACTTTACTTTTAAGTTAGTTAAACTTTAGTTTAGACCATCTCTACTCTCTATTACTATTAGTTGTTATTAGTATTACTTTTAATCCTATAGGCCTACTATAGAACTAGATCTCCTTCTAGCCTACCACTGTTGCCAGGTGTCCAGTTTTAAACTGGACAGTCAAGTATTTGAGCAGACTGTCCAGGATAAAATAAATATAAATACTGGACAAGTATATGAATAATACTCTGTTACCCCCCTTCTTCTGCTTTGCGGCATACCTGAGAAGGGAAGGATGGAAAGGTGTCCAGTATTTTCGGAAAAGGTATCTGGCAACCCTAAGTAGATCTAGATCTAGAATCTAGTAGTTAGTAGTAGTTAGGGGGCATCCGTGATAAATGATGTCACGCTTTTTTTGGACAATTTTTACCTCCCCCCCGTTACACATCGTCACAAAAAGCCAGACCCCCCCCCCTAAAATGACGCCACATCTCAGTCTACAACCCCTCCTCAAAGTCGCAGTTGAATTTTTCTTAAAACATCTATATATTTCCAAAATCTTGTCTGAACTCTGTCAACATAGATTATTTTAATCAATTCCTATTACTATTTACTAAAACAGTTTTCTAAAAACGTGAAAAACATCTAAAATTCATTTTCTAACATTGCTTTTTTATAATGTAAAAAGGTGATGTCGCACCATCTGAACCGCCCCTCCCCCTCATCACACACTGTCACAAAATTACTGACACCACCCCCCTACGAGTGTGATGTCATTTATGGACGACCCCTTAGCCTACTAACTTAGTAACTAACTACTCAAAAAATTACTACTACTAGATCTAAATTAACTACTACTACAGTCACTAGTCTACTTCTACTACTACAGACTACAGTACTTGACTCACAGACTAGTTACTAGATCTAGTAGATGAGTAGCTGTCTACTAAATAGGCGTTTCGACATCCAGACTTTTGATGCAGTCTTTATAAAAACTCGCCATTTTCCGAGGTCATTAAGTTCTGCAACTTCTGCCGGCCGAACTAGCATAGGTTGGGCAGCAGCATCTTCTGAGTAGACACTTAGAAAATTTTACTCTCTACTCTTCAATTCATATTTCCACTATTTCCAGTTAGTGCAACTATTTTAAATTTATGATTTTATCGATTGAATTTTTGTGTATAAATTTTAAATTACGAATAATATATTACTTTACTAATAGAGCCTCTTCCGATTGAGCTTGGTGACAGTGACTTGCAATGAGTCTATCCTGAGTCTGAGTTTCAAGTAACTCAGTCAATTAACGATTGAGTTACTAAGAAGTTTATTACTCATGTAAGTGTATCAGCTGTAATTAAAGTAGGATATATTTTAAATTACATGGGTAGACCTTTATTAAAAATATATTTATTTGTTGAGTACAGGTATGTGATTTTGGTTTTAAAAAAAATACCAAGATTAAAGAGTTTAAAAATACAACTGTCCTTAAACTTTGTGTCGGTCTATTTTCTAAACAATAAAATAAAAGATATTATAAACGTATCAGAACTTTATGGTATTCTTCTAGCTTTTCAATTAATATTTAGCAGGGCCGTTGTTAGATTTAAATGCTTTATGGTATAGGGTGTTGATACCACACAGTTTTAGCATTATGCATCTAATGAATTTAATTTAATTTATTACAGACGGCCTACAACCAATCTTATCTTTCAACACTGACGAAAAGTCATCAATCATGGAAACCCAGTATAATTTATCACTACTGAAGCTTAACATTCCTGTCAATCAAACAAATGGAACAGATTGTGTAGACGGGGTGCAATGGGTTTATGCTGTGATGGGAGAATGCTGTATTACTGCGAGAGAACAAGCTTCTGCTTATCTTGGAGTTGCCTCTCTTGTATTGTGGGGTTTGGTTGGTTTTCCGTAAGTATGAGTTATTCTGCATTAAAAAGTTTTACTTTATTTTCTTTGATGAGTTTTGTATTACACGTTTTAGAGGTTTATAATAATTTAAATGTAAAGACAGTATTGCAAATTTGTTTGGCCTATATTAAAATAATATGGGACAGTGTGGCCAAGCGGTAGAGAGCTAGACTGCTAACTCAAGAGTCTCGAGTTCAAATCCGGGTTCAAATCAGTGGAATGTCCCTGAGTCCACCCATCTCTGATGGGAGCCTAACTTATGAGGTCTCTGAAGCAGATGAACTACTTCATCTGCCCCATGTGTCTTGGGCAAGAACAGGAAATTATGATGATGATATTAAAATAATACTTACCCTGCTGGCTAGAAAAAGTTTTCTTGATTGCTGGTAAATTTCATTTATTTCTCTTTAATTGCAATAGTCAGATGTGTAAAAACTTCTGCCACATAGATGGAATGGCGGGACTGAGTTTCCTCTTGATACTCCAGTGGGCTGGTGGTGACCTGGCCAATTTGACTGGGTGTCTTTTAACGAGGCAGAACAATTTTCAAGTAAGTATGGAGCATTAATCTCTTGGATAGAAAGTTTTCAAATACAAATATTATATTATATATAGAACAATTTTCAAGTAAGTATAGAGCATTAACCTCTTGGATAGAAAGTTTTCAATTAAGTGTGCAAATCTCATATTATATATAGAACAATTTTCAAGTATTGAGCATTATCATTAACCTCTCGCACACAAGCTTTCAAGTAAGTAGCTTATAATCTTACATTATATGTAGAGCAATTGCCAAGTAAGTGTAAAGCATTAACCTTTTACATTATATATATAGAACAATCTTCAAGTTAGAAATGTTAGGTTGCTGACAGCCAACTTAGAAATATTTTTAAAAATATCTGCTTACAAATATTATATAGAATATGGTGACCTTTTTATATATATTTACATTTGAAACTACCCCTTTAAGAACAATTTAGCCAAATTTTGATATTACAAACAATACAGGACATTATTAATATATTGAAATTATTTGTTTCAGATTATCCTTGCTGGGTATTTTGTGGGCATGGATGTATTATTGTTGCTTCAGTTTCTTTACTACTTTTGTATTCATAAAAAGAGAAGAGCAGATCTTTCAGAAGGTATTGTTTGAAAAAAAAAGAATCAATCAGGGTTAAGCAAGAAAAAATATAATAGATTTATTATGCATGATGGTATTTTATTAGGTAGATTTTATTTAAAAGAATTAAGGTACAATAAAAGTAAAAGTTCTAATTCTATAAATTATCTACTCATTTATAATATACTTTAGGAATACATATTTATAGCTTTTATATTAACTCTTGTTGATTAATGTTCAGTCTATAGCAATTTAAAATAATTGTACCTAATACTAATTGTTTAAAAAAAATGTTATTAATACCTTTCGATCTCTTATTGGTGTATTGAATGAATTTATGTAAAATGAAAACAACTTAAGCATCTAAATCTGACTACAAAAATTGTAATGAAAGTTGGCTCAAAATCATGACTCAAATTTAAAATTCTACTTAATTCTTATTCTAGATAGAAAAGATCTGATAGGTCGTCAAAAATCACCGAAACCAGTTTTATGCCTGATGGGTGTGTTTGCTATTTCTTCCTTCATTGGGAAACAGTACATGTGGTCTATTTTTGCAAATACTGCTGAAAATAGTATACATCCAAGCCATGTCTCCCGTTCACTGTTGTCTGTTTATGAAGTTGATGATGTTAAAGATCCATTATACTGGAATGTAAGTTTTGTGTAACTTTTTATATTTGTTTGTCAATTGGTCATATAAAAGATTTTAATTTTTATTGCATTTATAAAGTTTTTTTTTTGTTACTTTGTTTTAAACTGTAAAGGAGAGTCATATATAGAATACTTAATTTACTTTCACAAATATTTATTTTTAAAATGCCAATCAGGATTATTTCACAATTATTAAATAATTATGAATTAAGTTTATCAAAATCGTTTTAGATTTTAAAGCTTGCTATGATTTTATTTATTTTATATTTATGTATATTTACAGAACCCAAGAAATGTTATAGGATACTTGATGGGGGTAGTGTCTGCTGTGTTTTATTTGGGTTCTCGCGTTTCCCAAATATATAAAAACGTAAGTTTTTTTTGTGCTCTAAAGCCTTATTTGATTGTTAGGTTTTAAAATTTAATTTTTAAATAATTTGTTTGGAGTGGGGCAAGATGGGAATGTATTTGTAAAGTTATTGTTCAAGAATTTATTTAAGAATAAGTTTAAAATATATTCTTTATAATTTATCTGGCAACATTTAGAGGAGGTAAAGGACAAGAGAATGTATAGCTGAAAATCTAAAACTAGGCTTTTTGACTAGGCTTATGCATGACCTCTTGACCATCTTGTTTTAATTATATAATCTTAATTATCATTAATAATTAGTATAAAAAGTAGTTGGCCTATTGTCATTGATCAAAATGTATTGCAGGTGAAAGCCCGATCAACGGAAGGTCTAGCTTTTTTAACATTCACTCTGGCTGTTTTTGGTAATCTTACCTACGGAGGTCAAATCGTAATCCTGGATTTCAGCCAGGATTACATCATAGAGAAGTTGCCATGGTTGCTGGGAAGCTTTGGAGTTGTCTTCCTTGATTGCACTGTATCCTTGAGTCACTATATAAAAACATGTTGTCATAGATACTGAATCTAAAGTGTCATCATCATCTCTGTCCTCTTTTGTGCTTGAGCTGTTATTGAATGGTTGCTATTTGTATGAAGGGTGGTTGTAAAGAAAGATGTATCCCATAATTTTAAAATCCTTGGTTGCATGGTTAAGTTCACAGGTTATGTGTGATCTCTGAGTATTTAGGATGCCCCTGTTTCTTCTCAATTCAGTGAATTTATGTGTCAAATCAAGGAAAGTAAAAGCAGGTTGTTTAAGTACTATTCAGGGCCGTAAGATTTCTTTCCTCACAGTACATAAAATTATAATATATTTTAAAACTTTCTGTCAATTATCAAAGCAATGCCTAATTTTTGCTTTCAATATAATTTTCTATCATACATAGTCTTAATCATTTATATCATTTTGTAGATTCTTTCCCCTTATTCACACTGTTGTTTCCTTATGAAGTAAACAGATATTAATCCAGTTTGTTTACTACAGGAAAAATAACCAAATAAGAACAGCAGAGGAAGAAGCTCTCCTAACTGGAGAATATATTATCAATGCCGATGACGAGAATTCTCAAGATGAACAAACTGAAAATCAACATGATATTAATTAACAATATTTGTAACATTTAAAAATATTTTTTTTTAAATATTGAAAAATCTCAGAATTCCAATGGAACAGAACAATATTACTTTAATTTTACATCCTCTTTTACATTTCTTTTAAAGGTTGACAGTTGTTTTTTTTGTGCCTATATTTTAATCTTTATCAAAATATTTTCCTACAATATTGGCTGTGTAAACAAGCTCTTCTTTAACTCTCCATGAAGAGAATTTTATTTTATTTTAAACTTTAAAAAAAAGGTTTCTTAATTACTTTATTTCACTTGTGACTTTTAATTTGTTGTTTTACAAATACCATTTTTATCTTTCTTTTTGGTTTGTGAAGAGATATTATTTTAACCTTCAATGAGCCAATATATCACAGTTGTTTCCATTGCCCCGGGTATTGTATATATTCTATGATGGAATTGATTCCGTTATCATACCTGAATTATTTTAAGCTGACCCAAAAGTCTCAAGTTTGAATCCCGGTTCAAGTCAGTAGAACGTCCTTGAGGCCACCCAGCTCTAATCGGTACCTAACTCACGATAGGTAAAGTAAATGTGGCTGGGCATAGTGCTGACCACGTGATCCCTTCATATGCTGAGGTCACTAAAACTCTACTCCAGTTCCCCTATGGACCATCAGGTTCCAAAAGGGAACTTTACTTTTAAGCCTAACTCATTTAAATTCTTGAAGCAGCAGAGATATTTATGTCGTTGAGTGTGTTAAGTTTATCACAAAGAAACAAAAAATAGTATATTAAATTTGGTCACACTAATATGTTTAAATAGTTTTCTATTAATAATGATGTCAAATAAATTACAAGTTTATTGTATAAACCATCAACGGTATGTAGAAATGTATTTTTCTATCATATTCCTGGTCGATATACTTGTACTGTTGTTTTTATATTATTTGTTTTATCTCCACATATTGGTTATTTTAAAAAAAAAAATTTTCTTAAAGGCTAAAAGGATTCATTAGTAGGGACTTTATCTGCTACTTATCTATTGCTATTGTTACTTGGTGCTTTCAATTCTCTTTTTAACAAGTTTTAGTATGGCCAGTTTTTAACTTATGTTGAATTAAATTGTTGTAGTGGTTGCTGCTATAAAGTTTAAACTTTTTTAAATGATTTTTCAATAGACTTAGCAGGTTGATTTTGCAGATTTTGCTGCATTTTAATAGGACTCATTGACAAAGGATATAAATATCTTTTAAACATATCTTTTTTTGTTTATTCATGCACAGATTGATTGCTTTTTGAAAATTTTAAACAGTAAACTCACATTGATGAAGATTAAACACAGAATCCTACATTTGATATTGACGATAAACAAAAATTAAGTTTTTTAAATAATTCTTATTACTGTGATATGGTTCAGTTTATGACCATTGTAAAAATATAAACATAAATTTCTCTTAACTGTTTCCCTGCTGATGAATTATCCTGTACAGTGTTGTATGCAAATGCATGTTATTAACTAGTCACAATTTTAAAGGATTTGTATTTTTAATGTTCCATATATAGTGTTTTTGTAATACTTTCAGAACAGACAATTGATGCTGCAGTTAAATTAAGATAGTCAGGATTATATTAAAAAAATAAGAATTTTACTAAAAGTACTTATCAAGCTATTTTCAGTTTGTTGTTGGATTTTTATCAAAATCCATACTTGCTGGTATATTAAAATAGTGAATTTACATGGTTAAGTGTTTTATAGAATTCAAGAGAAAAGTTATTTTTATACTTCACTTTTAAAAAATATATTTTATAGCAGTATGAGATTTTATGTCCTCTAAAAAAAAAAATTATTAAATTGAAAGAAGCAATAATTATGTTATTTACCATTTGCTTTTTTACAAAAAGTTAGTATCTGTTAAGATGCCACGTAACTTCTAATATTATGACATTTTTGTGTTTTTAGATTGTGAATACTGCAAGTGTAAGAAGTATGAACCACACTAAAATGTTTTTAAAAATTTTTTCAAGTTGGCCTAAAGTATTTCTGGTCTTTCAGATGACACCCCCCCCCCCCCCCCCCCAACTTTTCCAGTTCGCATTTAGAGAATGGAATATAAAACCACCTAATAAGATAACACTGCAAATTTTTAAGATTTACTTGGGATAAAAAGTCATCTTATTATCCAGAAAATACAGTAACATGAATTATCCTCACATTAATAAGATTTAAGAATGTATACATTTTATTTATGTTTTTGTTGTGAGTCATCTTGCGAAAAAACATTGAGTTATATTCTTTTCTTAATACTAGATCTAGATACGAGTTTTTTTCTACACAGCTATAACTTGTGTTGAATATTATAAACCATTGTATGAATACATCTATCAAGTTTCATTTATCAATAGGGTCAATATTTCAATATCCGTATTTATGTTATGAACGCTTCTTCATATGTAAGGATGTTAAAGAAGAATTTAACTATTTATATATGTAACACAGTGCTGGATTAAATGCAAATCTTGTAGGCCTATTTTGATTTTGCCATAATGAGATTATAACAATATAACAGGTCTTAAATTATTACTGATTTTAATTTTACTGATGAGATTCTCATTTTGTTTGTAGCATCATCAAAATGTTGTACCAATGTACCTCAGGACATTTATTAGTTTCATTTCATATAGTGTGGGTGTATTCATTGGCTAGTGTTTAGGCAAGTTAGAGGCATGTTTGCTATGGTTAAAGAAAATGGAGATGTTCATTTTTTGTAAATCTTTTATTATGAGAAACATGGGTGACAGAATGCATAGTTTTCTATTCTGTAACATCAAAATGATTAATTTAACATTTACTCAAATAAAATATAGTAGAATTAGTAGCTTCAAAGAACCAAGCACTGTTGTAGTACTACTATTAATGCTTGATTATAATTTATGCATGAACATTCTTTATCAAATGTTTGTGTGAAAATTACTGCTGCAAATAATAATAATGTATCACACAATTAGATATTTGTGGTTGAAGCTGTGATTTGTTTAGCTGAGACCATACCAAGACATATCTCAATGTTTTTTTCCTACATAAATAAGGTCACCAAAGCCAGTAACATTTCGTTTGGTGAAGATGTTCATATTTTGATTATGAATGCTTTAAAATTAATATGGCTTAAAAAAACTTGATCAGTTCCATTTTTAAAATAAATTACTTCCAATGGATTATTTGATGGTAATTTTGTAAACTTTACCAAAGATAATTTTTTTAAAACCTGTTTGTCAACAGCAATTTGTATTGTTTAGAGTTGTATTTTTATTGAAAATTATGTTTGACTAAAGTATTGAGATTTGGAACACAGGAAAAAATAAATCCTTTACTTGTATTAAGCACAGTTTAATCCAATCTATATAGATCTATATATAGTGTATACACGAAATCTCATATATCTTTAATACTGGGATATAATACTCATAGAATGTAAATGACTTTATGAAACTCAATATTTAAAGTCACTTGTGTTCATTTTTTCCTCATTAAACCTGTCCTCTGTGTGTGACTATCATACATGTATGACCATCATATATGTAATGAATAACACAAATTTTGCTATTTGTACAAGTTATTTATGGTACTGTTTGGTGTATGTGTTATGAGTTATTATATGTCTCAGTAGGGTAATCAAGGGGTCATTTGGGAGCATAGGTTAAAAAATATTATGTTGTTTTGAGGGGTAATTTTTAAAAAGTATTTTAAAGTTAGGAAAGCTATCATATATAAGGGAAGATGTCTGCAAACTTATTTTAGAAACACTGCTGTTTTAAAGCAACATAGTTACTTTTAAAACCAGGAAATAATTTTAGTTTATTTTAAATGATACTTGTAAATTTAAATAGTTTTAAGATTGCTAACTTGTTTTTTTAAAATCACATTTTAAGAATAAAAAAAAGACTCTTGAAAAACATTTGATCAAAATTGTGAAAATTCTACTAAGTATTAAACTACAGATTTTAAAGCTGGTGTCTGTTTTATACATTTTTAGAATAGCTCTTTTGTGTGAGATTGGTTTATTCATGTCTGTAGTGAATTTTTCAACATTTCTCAACCTTGTACTCAAGCAAGGCTAGAATGGTGCAAGTACCAAACTATATTTGGATAGAATAGACAAGGCAAGTACTAAACTATATTTGGACAGACAAGTTCTAAAAAATTGAGTTCGTAATCTCCAACTTTTAAAAAGTTGTAATAAGTATGGTCGTCTTTGACCCATGTATGTAAACAGCGTTTGCTTATCAATATCAGTTATATCTTGCCTAATAAAGGCTAATGAGACTGTTGGCAATATACCTCATAACTGCCCATATAAATGTTTAAAGTTTTGATCCGGGAATTAAATCTGTAAGGTATCTGGTCACCAATCTCTGTTGGGTACCTGACTCACATTATTGAAAGTAACAACAAGGTTTGTGGCATACAATCAAATGTCATATAAACAAGCAAACTCTACTTCACCTACCCTGTTAACTATCAGGGTACCAGTTCATGGAAGGGTATGTAACAATAATCAGTCGCATATAAAAAAGAGTTGTCCAAAAACCTCAAAAAAGTCGTGGTGCTGAGCACACAATACCTTCACATACAGGTGTCACACAAATCAACATGCTCTAATTCATCCCAGCAATGAACTGTCCATTGTCAAAATGAAGGGGAATTAAGGCCACAACCAACACTAACTAAATAAATACCTCACACAGAATAAAACATTTAAAACAAAATTTATTATCATACAGATTATGCGTAGAAATTCTAACTAAATTGAAATTACATTATATATATCAATGTTAAATTTATTTTTTTCAGCAGTAAAATTTTTTCATTCTCAAGTACCCCTATACATAAAATACATAGTAAAGTAAACTATTGGTACTGCATGAATACTCCATACTCTTAAAAATGATGGAAATATTTTAATCAAAAGATCTCATTCAGGCATACATTCATTAAATTTTACAATCAGGTCCACACAGCTGTTGACATAGTTTTATACACAAATCAAAATGTGAGAACTAATTTCTCATTATTAGTCACAGTATAAATTTTAATCCTTAAAACAACAGACATCCAGTGCTGATAACTCAGCTGAACAACAAAAATAAATACACATCATAGTATCTCTAACGCAACAAACATTAACCTTCCCATGTGGTACTGCCAAACAAACTATTTCAGTTCCTAAACAACAGGAATCAAGGTCACAAATGAATAAATATTTCAATCACATCTATTAGTTCAAAGCTTAGATTGACCAAGCGCTGTGTGATCTATTTTCTTTTACAATTTCTTGTACATGCCTCACTTGTTTTTCAAAAGATTGAATGTCTGTAGTATCACAGCAAATCATGGAAGCTGTTCTTGAACTTTCAACCCTGCCCACCATCACCTTTTGCTTTGCTGTCATTGGCAATATTTTTAAAAACCTGGGCAATTTCTGGATTTTCTTCTTCAAACTTTTCAGGTGTGTTTTGTTGAAGCCAGTCTGAGTTGCGAATCTGTTGACCAAGGGTTGCTAAGAGATCTTCAAGGCTTTCTTTTTCTACACAAAAAAGAAACAAAACAATAAATGAATTTTACATAAAAATTAAATTTACATTAAAAAAAAATATATATTGACTCTATGACTACTCAAACCCACTCAGAATCTTGAAATGATTTAGATTATACATACTCTCAGCTGCAGTGTTTTCTGGTTTTAAATCCTGTGATGCCTCAGAAGCTTGATCAGACATTTTCTAAACTGTCAAGGAAAACAAGAAACAGTAAAGAATTAACTTGTTGCACATTGCAATCACTGATGTTGGTAGGATTTGGAATGGATATGGGGGGAAGGGGTCAAATTTATCTAGAAATTTTACATTATAAATAAAAAAGTTAGAAATTGTCATTATAAAGCAACAAGAGCGCAGTGTAACTGAAACTTAATGTGAGGCAACTTTCATTTTGAAAGGGATCCAAGGAGCTAGCTTTCTCTGGTCTAGACTAGTCCCAGTAACAGGGAGTTATCTTAGACTTACAGTAGTTAAAGAGCTATGATCATTATTGCTGATAGAGACGAAAAATGCTTTTGTTTTGGTACTGTATTTACAAAACTAGATTTAGATATCTGTCTGATATATTTTTAGTATTTGGATATTCTGGGTGTTTATTTTTAGATCATGTTGGGCCCATTTTAATTTTATGATTAGTTCTGTTATCTGTTATCTATAGAGAATCTAGTAACATATCGAGATGTTGTGCATTTTACTTGCATCACATTGTCTTATTATAAGTAATAGAGTATAGACTATAGAGTGTGAGTGTGGTCTATTTATGTAACAAGTTACATTTTTTGATACCCTGCAAAGTTTTTACGCTTTAGCATACGTCAACAAAAGAAAAAAATGATACATTTTATTGATATTGGATCAAAAAAACTAATTAATTAAAATGTTAAATGATTTTGCCAGGGGAGGTAATTTTAAAAGAAAATCAACTCACGCTAAATAATGCTATTTAAGTACAAAAAATGGGAGTGCAAATTGCACAGACGTTAGTGAGAGCATTATAGCTAAAAAACACTGCCGTTTGTTTGATAACGCATTTGCATTTTCTTTTGTGTTATCATTTTTGTTTGTGCGTTGCGTTTTTGAGTTTGTGTGTTGCATTTTCTTTTGTGTTTTGCGTTTTCTTTTGTGTTATCATTTTTGTTTGTGCGTTGCGTTTTTGAGTTTGTGTTGCATTTTCTTTTGTGTGTTTTGCGCTGTTTTCTTTATTGTTTGTGTGTTGCATATGCATTTACCTTTTTTAAAATCTAGATTAGTAGTAAGTAAGTAAGTAGAATCTAGTATCAACTATAGCACTCTCTCAAAGCAGAGTATCAGCAAGAAACATAGAATGAGACATGAGTGATGAGACCATGCATGCATGATGGCATGACAAGACAACCTGACCTACAGTATTTTTTTTACAGTGGGTAGACTCAACACTAAGTAATTAGTGCACACACACACACAGAGTCACAACAACAAATTACACTAAATCTAGATCTATTAATAATTAATATTATAGGCCTAATTATTATTACACAGGTCACATTGGCCTGGTCATGTGTTGTGTGTGAGAACAATCGCCATAGAAACAGCATAACGCGGCCTAACTCATCTGAATCTAGGCCACTAATAATTTATAAAAAAATATCTAGATCTTCTAGTATTAATACTATAGATCTAAATATAGACTAGATGTAGATCTAGTATATTTGAGTGTAGCTCTAGAACTAGATTTAGATCTAGATCTAGATCTACTTACAAATTATAACAATGTCAGTAGTATGGGTATCCACTATGTCAAACAGAGATTGTTCCGTGCTTAAATACAAAATAGGATTTTAGTTTTAAAAAAATAAAAAGACCCAGTTCAAGCAAACAAAACAATTATTTTTAATGAAAATAAAGTTAGGAAAAGAGTATACATTTTAAAATAGGTGTTTAATTATACCTTGATCTAAAGTTAAGGTGAAATATTTAAAATAAACAAACAAATCCCGCTACTAATAAAAGAATTAACATAATAAAATATAGCTGGTTATATAAATTTTGTTTTTCACCCGTCAATATCTGGGCCTGTGGCGCAACGGATAACGCGTCTGACTACGGATCAGAAGATTCCAGGTTCGAATCCTGGCAGGCTCGTAAATTTTTTTTTCCTGCTCATTTTTTTGGATCTTAACTTTTGAGTATGTCGTTTTGTTACTAACTGGCTAAATTAACTGAACCATTTCAATAGATTACTGTTTATGTTTATTGTCACTACAATAATTGATCTCATTTTGTTCTATAGGATCTAAAAGTCACAATTGTATCTGTTCAACTTGACTTGTTTAGAGTAAATAAATACTGGACAAGATGCAACACATACATCTTCAACAAATTCAGAGTTTCTTCCAAGCATCTCTTCGAAGGGGCTTCGCCCTCCCCCCACCCCCCCCCCCCCCTCCGAAATTTTTTTACCGCCCCCCCCCCCCCCCCGAACGAAATGAAATTTATATAATTTATATAGAAAATATATATTTAACAGTGTCCGCCCCCCCCCCCCCCCCGAAGAAAGTCTACCGCCCCCCCCCCCCCCGAAAATTTCAAGTGCCCCCCCCGGAGAAAAAAGTCTGGAAGAAACACTGAACAAATTCAACAAGTAAAATGTACTTTTAAAATATGCTGAGGTAGGTTGATACAAGAACTGGGGGGCAAAAGATACCAACGTCACCGAACTTATTGAAAACTGGAAAAAGTTAGTAGAACTGCCGTGTTGCTGACAGGCGGCTCTTTGCCCCCAGAAAGAATTAAAATTAATATACAAAATATATACCAGTGTCTGTCCCCCTCCCCTCATCCCCCCCCCCCCGGAAATTTAAATCCGCCTCACCGAAAATACGAAAATTTCAAGCCACCCCCCCCTCCCCAACACCCGAGAAAAAGTATGAAAGAAACACTGTTCATAGCATCAAAAGCTAATGTTATCTTTTACTCGGTAAAATTTCCTGCCGATTACATACAAACATTCAAGTCACGATCGGAGATGTGTAGACTGGCTTGCCTGAACACCCGGAAAAATTCCGGGGCGCCAGTAAAGAATCCGGAGTTTACCAGTTTACCATGTCCCTCTATCCCGGTCGAATAAAATTCTTTTTCGCCAAGCGTACTTTACCATTAGCTGTCGAATAAAATTCAACATTTCTATTCTTTTTTTTCTCTAAGCGGAGTCTCATGAATCTCCGTCAAAGCAGGGGTCTGGCCAGTGGCGTGGCGAGGTCGGGTGTCACCCGGTGCGGCACTTAATGGTGTCACCCCCCAGAGGCGTAGCGACCATTCCCGGGGACAAATTTTCGATTTGCACCCCCACCCCCCCCTCAAACTTTCGATTTGCACCTCCCCTCAAGTATATATTTTGCTATTTTTTGCCTTGGTTTCAACCCCCTAAATGGTGTCACCCGGTGCGGTCCGCACCCCGCCACCCCCCCCCCCCCCCCGCCCCCCTCGCTACGCCTCTGAGCAGGGGTCTGGTAACGTTCACAAAAAGTACACTACCGGCAGTATACCGGATGTTGAGAGAGGTCGCGGCGTGGAAACTAACCAAACGTTTTGCAGTTGTTTTCAACCTCGAAGACGATTTATACAAGACACGGACAGAGTTTCACGGAAGGGTGTTGCTGAAATGGTTTCGTAGGTATAATGTATCGAAGTGTTAAAGTGTCATAATTTTTATTCGGCTGTTTTGTAGTTGAAGGTCTAGTGCAGGGGTCGGCAACCTTTTGAGACGAAAAAGCCAAAAGTTACAATTTACAAATTTGCCCAGTTTTTAAAGAGCCACTAATATTTTTTTCCAATATTCTGGTGTTTGATTAGGATTAGGTAAATACATTTAATTGTTTATTTGAAAAAAATACCGTTAAATATGAACTAATATTGATTCATAGAAAAACATTTTTCGCACACAAAAGTGTTTTAGCTAGCTCCGCTATGATTAAGTTAATTATCAAATAATATAACTATAATACAATCCCAATCAACTTTAGAAGCCAATAACTTAGTTTTTTTTCTTTCTCTACGGACACCACTGGCTCAGGAGATGTCTCCCATAGCCAAGCAGCCCTGACTAACTGGCTTAGATATAGGTCGCTTCTGTCCTTCGGTTCTCACAGTGCTTATCTTCCACCCTACTCGTTCCACACAGTCCAGTACCTGGCTCCACCTTATGATACTAACAACTAAAATACTTCGGTAGAGGGATGCTTTCTGAATAAAATAACAATCCCGATTTAACGATATTCGAAAAAGTCGGCACTTCAGCAGTGGCAAGCATGGAATAGTCGACACGGGGCTGGCTAGAGCACGGCTGTGGGGCTGGGCCTGGTGCCAAAGCGGCTGTCAGCTGTCCATTTACTTTCTACCTAACCTATTCTCACTGTTCTCTAATGAGTTTTTTAATCCTGTTTAAAGTTGTTTTTCTTTACAGTGTAATATTTTATGAGTTTTGAAAATGAAATAATAGAATTATTAATCTGTGTGCATGGAGCTCGAGAGCCGCACCTTGACATCAAAAGAGCCGCATGCGGCTCGCGAGCCGCATGTTGCCGACCCCTGGTCTAGTGGATTCTGAATGGTAACAGAGAAATGAGAATGCAGGTGATGAAGTATCATAGTTCTGGAGTTCGGGAGTATTGATTCTTGTGGTATTAAGATATCGAATTATATTGACTGTTAAAGTGAAGTAGGTCCAGTGAAATCGTTGTTGATTGAGAGCAGAGGCGTAGCAAGGGGGGGGGGGGGGGCGGGGGTGCGGAACGCACCGGGTGACACCATTTAGGGGGGGGGGGTGACATCACGGCAAAAAAAAAGCAAAATATATAGAGAAAAATGATAATTCCACTTCATTAAGTGATTAATTCGAGTGTTAAATAGTCTTTTAAGAGGTGCAAATCGAAAGTTTGAGAGAGAAGAGGGGGGGGGGGGGTTCAAATTGAAAGTTTGAGGGAGGGGGGTGGAAATCGAAAATTGAAAGTTTGTCCCCGGGAAGGGTCGCTACGCCTCTGGGGGAGGGGGGGGGGTGGTGGTGACACCTTTAAGTGCCGCACCGGGTGACACCCGACCTCGCTACGCCACTGATTGGGAGTACCGCATGTAGAGCTTGGTGAAGTTAAACGAGTAGGAGCTTTATCGCACGCTAGATGATTTCAATTCAGTACGGAACACACTACAAAGAAAAGTAGGCGTTCTCTAGTTGAAAATTCTTTAGTTTTTTAGGAATCTATATTTACACTCTTAAAGTATTAATATATAATATTAAATAGGATGGAATTTATAACCAACCGTAAACTTTGTTTCTCAATTTATTATTTTTTATATTTAATCAACATTTCTAGCAATGTCTAAAACAGTTACCCATGTTTGATTTTTTTTGAAAGACGTCCCTAAATTTAGGGGATCTAAAATTTTAAACATGAAGAAAATTAAATTTGTACACGTGTAACTGTGTCATCAAAATTGTATAAAAGATGTTATAATAAAGATACCACTTTTAGACTTTCAAATAAAACCTACAGTTAAATATTTAATCGGTAAAATATATTGTTTTTACAGATTATAAAGCTAATATAAAAGATTTGTTATAATTGTAATGAAATTTAAAGCGTTTTATTGTGTTTTTAAAACATGTCTTAGTTACATTTGGTTAATTTAGCTATTCTTTTGAAAGTTATTTCCCTTGAATAAAATTTTGGTATTTGGATTTTCAAATGGGAGATTGCTTAACTTTACATCCATTTCAAATTCCTGCACCTTAGGTTGACCGCTTACATTTAAATACAACTTTAAGTTATTATTTGCAATTGTAAAAATTATATAAAGCTTAAGTTCTAAACAAAATAGTTTGGTAGTTTTTTTTTAGCATTATCAAGTTGAGAAATAAATATATTAGTAGCCGTTGTAGTTGTAGATTGCAATTCTTAATGTTAGTAGACATACAGTCTTAGTCGTACATTCAACATCCAGTTAATTGTCTTTTCATAGTTTTCACCTTCTCCTAAAGGATTCATATATAACAATTTAAGGCTATAACATTTATAACCTTTTATTTTTCAAAAACAAAAAAAAGTTAAATATTCACACAATGTTTTACATTTTACAATTTTAACTAAAGTCAGTCGAGCTTAAAACACGTAAGGTTCGTTTTGGAATTCACCTTGGGAGGTCTACAGAGAGCCCAAATGAACAAGAACTTTTTTAAAGTGGTTTTTTCCAAAAAATTTTTTCTCGCGGGAGGGTGTGGAAGCACTTAAAATTTTCTAGGGGGTGGGGGGTGGGGCTATGTCGTAAAGTACAAAGTGGACTTAGCAACAATTTCAATAAAATGTGATTACGCTTGCAAATGAAGGAGGCTAGATAAAATTTGATGTAAACTTATAACGTGTATGCAATTGATAATAAATTAATATTATGTCACTTTTAATTAATTGTTTTCTTATACAAATGTTTTAGTTATTAATGTGTGTGAGAGGGGGCGTTTTAAGAAGTTTTGCCTAGGGCGCTAAATAACCTGGCGCCGGCACTGCCTCTACCCTTTAACTCCGCAAAGCATCTTCTGAAATCTCAAATGGGCTGGTTTCCAATGTAAATGTAATTTTATAAAATTTTATAATTTTATTTCCTGACATTCTCGCTTATGATTTTTTAAATACAAAATTTACAATAAAAATACGTTTTTTTTTAAAAAACAAATAACTCGTAACAATAACCGATGATGTGGTACTTTGTGGGATGGAAAAGGTTAATAGCATTGCAATTAATTTCAACGATTCAAAATCGCTCAGAGATACGAGCTACTTGACATACGAGCAAATGATATGGAACGAATTAAATTCTTATCTGGAGGTATCACTGTATTGTTATTCCTAAAAAAAAAGTAAACATAAAAGTTAATTTATTTTAAGCACATGATTAATTAGAGCCGTTAATCTCATGATGAAGTCAAGTACACGTGGAGGCTTGTGGCTTGTTGACAACGAACTTTCGTTACTTTGGCTAGATAACAGTAGCTATATGTTCCAATACACCGAGCAATATCCCATGCCAGTATCAGCATCAGTATAGGACAGGGGTCTCCAAACTTTTCAGCCCGAGGGCCGCATCAACTATCAAATATCAGTTCGGGGGCCAGAGTTTCTTCCAGGCATCTCTTTCAGTGGCGGACCCCCCCCCCCCCCCCCCCCCCGAGGAACGTCAACACCCCCACCCCAACGAAATATAATTTATATAGAGATATATACATATTTCTGCTCAAAACATTCTCACAACTTAGCCATCTTTCCAGGGGCGTAGCGAGGGGGGGGGGGCGGGGGTGCGGAACGCACCGGGTGACACCATTTAGGTGGGGGGTGACACCAAGGCAAAATATAGCAAAATATATAGAGAAAAACTTAAGGGGGGGTGCAAATCGAAAACTTGAGGGGGGGGGGGGGGTTTGCAAATCGAAAGTTTGAGGGGGTGGGGGGTGCAAATCGAAAATTTGAAAGTTTGTCCCCGGGAAGGGTCGCGACGCCTCTTGGGGGTGACACCATTAAGTGCCGCACCGGGTGACACCCGACCTCGCTACGCCACTGTTATCAGCCACATAAAAAAAATAATTACAAGAAAATGTTCCTCAAAAAACATTTAATACGTTTATTTACATTCAGATACACAGATAGACCTAGATGGCTTAAATAAGAACATTCCTCTAAAAAAAATAGATAACAATTTTAAATGTCGTATTTATTTACAATGATATAGTAGTTAAGGCCGCAGAAGTATTGCGTAAGTAGTTATTTATCCCGCAGAAACATGCATGAATGGATTACCTATAAAATAATTAAGGAATTCGCCTAAATTGACATCAATTAAGGAATTAGTCTACAGCAACATCCATTAAGGAATTAGTCTACAGAAAAATCAATTAAGGAATTAGTCTACAGAAACATTCATTAAGGAATTAGTCTACATAAACATCAATTAAGGAATTAGTCTACAGAAACATCAATTTAGGAATTAGTCTACAGAAACTAGGAATTAGTCTACAGAAACATCAATTAGGAATTAGTCTACAAAAACATCAATTAAAGAATTAGTCTACAGAAACATTCATTAAGGAATGAGTCTACAGAAAAATCAATTAAGGAATTAGTCTACAGAAACATCAATTAAGGAATTAGTCTACAGAAACATTCATTTAGGAATAAGTCTACAGAAACATCAATTTAGGAATTAGTCTATAGATATGTGTGTACAGAAATAGCATAAGACCGTCGTTTAAACAAAAATATGGGTCGATACTGCTGGGGGATCGAACATTTGTAATTAGACAAGCGATACAAAATCCCGATTAATGGATACATGATACACAAGGCAACAGTTATGATGTGAAGTTTTAGTTACATTTGTATATTTTTATATAGAAACTAGTACCAACATTTCTCTCTGCAAACCTTTCTTTCTTTCTTTAGCCATTCGCACCAAATTCATTAGCTATGCGCCTGTTTGGGAACCAGTGTGGTCGGGTCGGTAAAACTCATCGTTGCTAAACCGAAAAGTCCCGACCCCCAAAGGTTAAGGGTTTTTAATTCATTTATTTTATACAGTAATAAGAAATATTGCACAGTTAGTTTTCAAATACAGACGTCACCAAACCGTTACATTACTAGAAGACTGGTTAACGATGTTTATGTTATAACAGTTATTTTTAGCGCAATTTCCATACTGACAATTGCGATTATTAATTCGTTCTGGATGGATGTGTGTCCGCAGGTTTAAGTCGTATCTCCTCCTCAACGAAGCAATATCGAGGACTAGTTCCAAAAGCAAATATGTTAAGCAAGTTCTCGGCAACCAGACCACTTAGCGATTTGAAACATTTACCAATCGGTTCCTGCCATAATTTAGAACAATTTAGCCGAAGAAAGTTTTCAAAAATATCCTTTCGTTCGGTCACAAAAAATTAATTAAGGAAATTGCGCTTAAATTGTCACTAGACTTTTTATTAACTTGTTTTCACAAATATCCAACACAAATTTTGCAGTCAGTATATCACGAAGGCAGACCTTCTCATTCAACAGTATTACATATAACGATTTTCATTTAATGTATAAAAGAGAATAGGTTTTGTGCCCCTCCAATCACTCTATCCTATTCATTGACTCAAATCGTCAATTCAGAATACATTTTTTTCGTGAATATTATGCAAACGCCCGAGTTTTGAGAAAAAAAGGTAAATTGCAACTAGTTGTCATAAAATACAACTGTATTTTAACATTAAAAAAATCACTGGGTTTTAAGAAATCGTCACTTGATGAGCAAAAGCTAGGTTGGTGACCATATTAGCTTCTGTCAGTTTGGATTATATAGTGCAATTTGAGACATTGGTCCAACACTAGAATTTAGCTAGTTTGTTTAATTTTTTTTTGAGATATTTGCAAGCGAGCTTAGTTTGTATAGTATCACCAAATTGGCCTCCCATTCGAATTGTTGCCAGTTCTATTTACACAGAAAAATGATGATATTTGACCGATTATTGGAATTTCTCTCAGTTTGGATAACAACATTTACACATTGGATAACTCTGCATGCAGACGTTTGTCTTTTTTTTTTGGCGAACACTTTGAAACCTTGTCAATACACCCTGTGTTATTAAATCTTGAATTTCCTCAACAGTTATACCTTTACAGAATAACATTAGCAAAACATCAATGGTCTTAACATTGCACAATAACACCAGCTAATCCTTAGTGGTTGATCTCGGATCGAAGCCTTCAGTAGACGCTCTTGTTCCACGCAGTTGCATATTTAAAACACGACCGCGCACATTTAAAGTTCTATTTTGGCAACACAACTGCGCACATTCTAAGTTCTGTGTTTACAACACACCCGCGCATAGTCAGTTGCATATTCACAACACGGCCGCGCACATTTAAAGTTGCATATTCGCAACACTGCTGCGCACATTTAAAGTTCTGTATTCACAAGACGGCCGCGCACATTTAAAGTTGCATATTCGCAACACTGCCGTGCACATTCTAAGTTCTGTATTCAGAAGACGGCCGCGCACAATTAAAGTTGCATATTCGCAACACTGCACGCTCAAAACGAATTTTTCCTCGGGCTCAGCAGCAGCCCGCCGTGGTACGCCTTCCTCTCCCCGAACTGCTTGCAGTGCAGGTCGCAGCTCCGCGACTCCTGACTCGTGTCCAGGTTCAAGGTCAAGGTCAGACACGGCAGCACCTCCTCCTCGGGCGTGCTCTTGGAGATCCACGAGCACACCCGCTCGGTGTAGGTCTCGGTCGTTGCCGAGTCTAAGGCGATCTTCGGACCTTGTGGCTTCAGGGGCAGGTACAGGTGTCGGAAAGGTTTTTGACCAGGTTTGGTATTTTGTCTTGTGAGCAATTCCTCTTTCTCCCACTGTAAACAAGATTTTAAAATGGCAAGTGTTTATAGCTTGAAATTTTAAACAGAATAGGTTGAAATATTAAATTAATGTCTGTAACTATACTAGGGTAATGTTGAGTTTAATTGTAAGGCAGAGTTTAGGATTGTGTTTAGGTAAAGAACTAGTTATGTAATGAGTAGGATCAGGTATAAGTATTTATAAGAGAGACTGGGGTCTTGTTTACTGTTAAATTTAGGGATGTATTAAAACTCTGCGTTAATGTGAGTGCAGTACAGTAAATAAAATTATGGCAGAACGCATGTAGAGGTTGTTGCGATAGATACCAGAGCTATATTGGACAGCTAGGTACCAGAGCTAGATAAAAGATGCATATAAAATAGCTAGATACCACAGCTACGTAACCCAGCTAGATATCATAGCTAGATACCACAGCTAGATTCAACAGCTAGAAACCACAGCTAGATACCATAGCTAGATACCACAGCTAGATACCATAGCTAGATACCACACCTAGATAGCACAGCTAGAAACCACAGCTAGATAGCACAGCTAGAAACCACAGCTAGAAACCACAGATGGATACCACAGATAGATACCACAGCTAGATACCACAGCTAGATACCATAGCTAGATACCACACCTAGATAGCACAGCTAGAAACCACAGCTAGATAGCACAGCTAGAAACCACAGCTAGAAACCACAGATGGATACCACAGATAGATACCACAGCTAGATACCACAGCTAGATACCACAGCTAGATACCACAGCTAGAAACCACAGATAGAAACCACAGATAGAAACCACAGATGGATACCAGATCTAGATACAACAGATAAATACCACAGCTAGATACCACAGCTAGATTTCACAGCTAGATACCACAGCTAGATACCACAGCTAGATATCACAGCTAGATACCACAGCTAGATACCACAGCTAGATTTCACAGCTAGATACCACAGCTAGATACCACAGTTAAACCACAGATAGATACCACAGATAGATATCACAGATAGATACAACAGATAGATACCACAGATAGATACCACAGATAGATACCACAGATAGAAACCACAGCTAGAAACCACAGCTAAATATCACATATAGATACTACATCTATATAGCGGAGCTAGAAACCACTGATAGAAACCACAGCTAGATACTATAGATAGATACCACAGCTAGCTACAAAAGCCATAAAAAGCTCGTGCTGTTTACCACTGTCTCGTGTTCCTGGCTTGTACTCGTCCAATCAGAATCCGTGGTTGACGTCATCTCATGCAGTGCCGTCTGATTGGTGGGAATTTGACAGAGTGACGTCAAGTGGGCACTGTCTGACGTCATCTAGCGGGAGAAAAGTTTGAAAACAATACAGTCAATACAGCAGATCAGATTCTACTTGTAGTGGTTAAACTGAACTGATTTGTAGTCCTGTTGTAGACATGTAGGGCACTTTGTGGCGTAAAGGTAGAACGCGAGCTTACTAGCACTGTCACCGAACAGCTTTTTCCAAATTATTTAAGCCTACCCCCCCCCCCCCATCCCCCCATGAACTATATACCATCGCATATAATTTTACTAGACAATGTGTTTTAAATAAGAACGTCATTCTAAAATGTATTGACCAAACTAAGATTACCTTCTCTTGACGTGCCTCTTGATTATGCCCCTTGAATTGTGTCCATTCTTTATCAAACAGTACGTTGGTATCCTCAGCCTCGTTCTCGGGGCTAAATCAGTAAACATTTTAAAATTTTACACACAAGTTAATTTTAATTAAACTAATTCTTTTTTTATAATAAAATAATAAAGAGTCCAAATATGTATTATAGAGAAATGGGACGTCTTGGCCTAGCGGTAGAGAACAAGATTAGAGTCTCATGCTCGAATCCGGGCTCAAATCAGTGAAATGTCCATGGGTCCATGGGTCCACCCAGCTCTGATGGATACCTAACTAACGCTAGAGATGAGCAAAGTGTAGACCCCTTATCCCGATGTCTCTATTTCATCTGCCCCATGTGTCTTTGGTACGAACGGGAAATAGTGATGATATTTAAGAGAGATAAAGTTTAACGTGTTTTCTTTTAAACTGTCGACTTGCTCCGCTATTTTACATTGTCATTGCTAAATTTTTATTAGTAAACCTAGAATGAGTTAAAATTTTGGTTTTCGCTATTACCTTCTAAGTAAAGTCTCATATTCAACAGGAAAGATATCCACATCACCACATGCTTTATAGCCCACGTTATTATGGTCCAGTGTACAATCAACGGAGCATTTGTTTGAAAACAGGAGCTGAATGCAATGTCAAGGACGAAATTTGTGAAAACTTATTAAATTAATCACAGTAAATTGCTCTTGTTTTAATGCATTTTGTAAAAGTTAGTGTTGATTAGCGTAAGTAAGTGGAATTATTACTAGTATATAAATAGTAAACATCCCTGAGTCCACCCAACTCTGATGGGTACCTAACTCACGTTAGGAAAAGTAAAGGCGGCTGGGCATATTGCTGACCACATTATTCCTTTAAATGCCACAATTAACAAACATACGAACTCCACTTCATCTGCCCAATGGATTGTTAGGTTTAAAGAGGAATCTTTACTTCTTTTCATATAAATAGTAGAATAGAACTATATATATATATATATATATATATATATATATATATATATATATATATATATATATATATATATATATATATATATATATATATATATATATATATATATATATATATATATATATATATAATTTTAAATAAAACTAATCAGTTCAGCTTGTGTTTAGTTTTGTAAAAAGGATACAAATACTTGGAACATTACTTGAATGGTTCTGAAAATTAAAAGAAAATTTTAAAATTTTATCAATTTTATTAATCAATTAATATTTCCTAATCGAAGCACTAACAGCGCCGTACTAAGGGGTCCACCGGGACTTTTTTTTATCAGGGGGACCACAAGAATTTTCTCCACAGACCGGGAAGCCAGTCCACTATCGGTAGTAAAGATTGTATATACACACACTTTACTAGCTATAGTAATATTTTTTCCAGTTTAAATAATAGATATATTTGTCGAATACCTTCCCAGAATCCACGGTAGTGCAACAAGGCTGATACTGAATCCATTTGACTGAATGAAAATACTTCCGATATACAAAAGATGGGAACAAAGAACGATAACTCCTGGGATCCGTTTCAAATAAAACTGAGAGGTATCTTTTCCTGGAGCCTAAATAAAGAATATTTTATTACATTGTGTTATAGAATTAGTAGCTCTTCGTCCATGTAGTACTACATAGACCTAAACTATGAAATTTAATTACTGCATACGGGATAGATTGTAACCCTAATCACAATACTTTGACTCTTTATTGGTAATATTGGAGGAGGATTTATTTTGAAAAAAAAAATGAAATTTAAATTCTAAAATCAACTCTTTAATTTTTGCTGCTTAAAACACACGTACTATAAATATAACAATAACATAATTTTAAAAGCTATGTGAAAATGATTCGCGGAGATTGGCAGAGACCAAGACGTGTTGGTTACATCTAACAAGTGTATATAACAGTAAACAATACAAATAGAGAATCATACGTTTTGCGTTACCTCAGTCAACGTGTAGACTCTTATTTCTACACACCAACGTCCAAAACAAGAGAGACAACCCAGTACGTAACCAGCCGTTGTCATGGCAACAACGCTCACCATGTTCTGTTGGAAATACAATTGCCTGTATTTTATAACTATTATGTGGGTATATATATACTCACACATAAATGCATATATATATATATATATATATATATATACATATAATATATGCCGGTTACATACACTAAATACGTATGTGTGTGTGTGTTTGTGTGTGTGTGTAAAAACACACATATGCATTTCTATATAATGAATACAATTATATATCTAAATTTATTACATTTAATTTCATGTATATATGTATAAATTTATATATATATATATATTATATATATATCTATATCTATCTATATATATATATATATATATATATATATATATATATATATATATATATATATATATATATATATATATATATGCCAATATATATATATATATATATATATATATATATATATATATATATATATATATATATATAAATATATATATATATATTTATATATTTATATATATATATATATATATATATATATATATATATATATATATATATATATATATAAAATATATTAATTGACCAAATATATGTTTTTTAAAATATAGATCTATAAAAAAAATAAAAATTGTAATGTTATTGTATAACTTTTATGTTTAATTTGTTAAACTGACTTATACAAGCTACACTGAAACAAGATACAAACACATAGGGCTACTATATAAGTACGTGCAATCAAAACGACAGCAGTACATTTGTAAGTTTAAAAAAAAGGACTGAACAAGAACACTACCAGTGGATGATGAGGCGCGTCAGACCAGATGGTTCTGTTGGAGCGATGCACGGCCACCGTGGTCAGCACCAGTAAAGACACGCTCACAAGGCTCACGGGCAGTATACAGACCTTGTATGACGTCAGGTTGGTCAAGTTCAGGTCAGATGGCGGCTCATCTATAAAACCTGCACGTAACACATTTTTCAAAGTTAAATATACACTCAAGCACACCGATACACACACACACCCATACATATATATATATATATATATATATATATATATATATATATATATATATATATATATATATGTAACGAGACTATTTGCCTGTAGTGCCAAATGTTAACGAGTTCTGCTCGACAACGCCAAATGTTACCGAGTCTAACCACTCATTCTACACAACATCGACCACAGTATAGATACTCGAAGATGCAGGTTCGCTATTGATCCTTTTATTACATGAATCAAAGAAATGCTTCACAATAATATAATGAATCAAAAGGAATGCTTCACAATAATAGTCTGAATCAACTGACCCCCAACAGTCCTCACTAGTCTTCACATAACTGAATGCACATGTCTATCGTCCTTCTTAACACAATACGGCTAACCCGTTCAATAACCAACTTGATACTGCCACACTGACTGACTGATCGAGAGAGAGAGACACACCGCGAGCTCAGCCGTCGCCTTCCTATATATCCCCTTCGTATTCGTAATCGTATTCGGTTCTATCATAATCGTAATCGTAATCGATTCTAATCGTTGCATCAGAATGTTAATTACGCCGCTTCTGTCGTACAGTCCGATTTAATAAGCCATCTGCATCCTGTCACATCAAAGTTGACAGACCGTATTGCGTTCTTATCGTATCGCTTCCCAAGATACTACGCCTTGGCTTTCTGATCGTTATCAGCCAACACCTGCGTTATTGCATCAGTCGTGTCAAAGTTGACAGCGCTGTACCGCGTTCTTATGTCTCTGGTAACTTCCCCTAGTTACATCCACCCCTGCCTTTTTTTGTGTGTTATCAACCACAAACAACGCTTGGCAGGTGCAGTCCTTCAAAGTCAATCGCACCACCGTAAAAAAAAATGTATTGTTCCACTCACTGTCACCTTCGTATAAGATTGACAGTTATCCCTATTTCACATATCAAATGTGTCTACATCATCTTCCTCAGACACAAAACAGTTCTAGAATTCACATCCACCTTTTTTTGTTTGGTGTCTTCACCAGTTCACTTGTATGACTTTTTGAACAGTCTGTTCTCATACCAGCGCGACCATGAAAGAATTGATGGTTGCTGACAAAAAATTTCGTATTCTTTCTGTTTCTCAAACTTCTCCGCGGACCACTTATCTGATGGTCTACTGTCTCTCTGCTTCTGGGAGGAACGGGATCCTCTTCGTTGCCGTTATCCTCCACTTGTGTATCGCTGTTGTTCTGTTGATGGTGACATGGTTCCGGGATGGGTATGTGAATTTCCGTTATAGTTTCCGGTTCCCTAATTGTCTTGGGTTTCCTTGTGTGTAACTGCTCTTCTTGACTATGACAATATTTCTTTAATTGAGCAATATTCGCCCACCGATCCGGTTTGGTGTGATCGATGGGTCTTATCTTAAAGGGGCCACCTGCTACTTTAGGCATCTCCACGACTTGCCATATCTCCTGTCCCCAGAGGTCGTGGATTTTGTTTCTGCCTAACGGGTGGCTACGCAGTAATACCCTGTCGTTCAGTTTGAGTGGCGGGTCCTTTGTCTGTACCGGCGGTTCCCTTCGCCGTGCTTCATGTTCTAGTCTTTCCTGTACTACCCTGTACATTTCTCTAATTCGTCTCATATGTTCATTCACATATTCCAGTGCAGTGTATGAGCCAGTCATACTCTCCTTTTTTCCTAGGAACAAGTCAAGAGGGAGTCGAGCCTCCCGTCCGAACAGCAACATGTGTGGCGAAAAGCCGGTTGTGGCATGGGGGGTGCAGTTGTATAGATATACCAACTCTGGGAGAAAATCAGGCCAACGTTTTTTCTGTTCAGGTTCTAGGGTACGCAGCAAATCATGCATGCTGCGGTTGAACCGCTCGCACTGTCCGTTTCCTTTCGGATTAAATGTGGTTGTTCTAGATTTGTTGATCCCGTAGTGGCTGCACAGTTGGTTAATTACTTCTGACTCAAAGGCCCTTCCTTGGTCAGAGTGTAATTGTCTTGGTATGCCATATTTGATGAACCAATGTTCTATTAAGACCTTTGCCACTGTTTTGGCAGTCTGATCTCGTGTGGGCACCGCCACAGTCCATTTGGTGAATACATCAGTCACTACCAACACATGTTCCGTCCCATCCGATGATTGCTCCAACGACGTAAAGTCCATAGCCACAATCTCTAGTGGTTTTGTCGCTAGTAGGTGTCCTGATGGCTGTCTCATTTTGACAACTGGCATTTTCGCATGCTGACACCTCACACAAGCCTCACAATGGCGTTTGACCTCCATTTCCATATTGGGCCAGTAACACCTCCGTCGTAATATTTTGTGCGTCCTGTCCTGACCCTGGTGTCCTGCCCTGTCATGTGCCAACCTTAGCACTTCTTCTCGTAATTGTCCAGGCACCACCACCTGGTGTATTGTCCCATCAATTTGGTCATGAATTCTCCGCATGAGAACACCATCCTTTATACTGAGACGGTCCCACTGACTCAGTAGTTTCTTTGTTTCCCGACCAAACTGTTCTCTTTCCCTTCTTCTTGGGAATTTTTGTTCCTGGACGTGTTTCAACAGCGGCTGTAAGCCACTATCCGTTCTCTGGGCATCTCTTATCTCTTTATTATTAAGGCAATTAAAATCACTAATGTCCATATGTCCGGGCTCTGTGGATATGTGCTCCACCCCGATCTGAGTCCGTTTTGCATCACTTGCACCCCGTGAGGGATATCTGTTGACGCTCTGACCCCACATATTCCTGTCAGCGTTTCTTCCTCATCGCCCGGTCTCTCGTACGGATTCCTTGATAAAGCGTCCGCATTGCCATTGGACCGCCCCGGGCGATATTTTATCTCCAGGTCAAAGAGTGCCAATTCTGCTGCCCATCGCTGTTCGATGGATCCCAACTTTGCTGTCTTTAGGTGACTCAAGGGGTTATTGTCAGTGTATACCACACATTTAGCACCTAATAGATAGTCCCTGAATTTTTCAGTCACAGCCCATTTTAATGTCAAAAGTTCTAGTTTCATGGCGCTGTAATTTGTCATGTTCTTCTCTGATTCCTTCAGAGCTCGACTGGCATACGCAATAACCCTGAAACCTTGCTTTTGTTGTTGTGATAGCACAGCTCCCAGACCTTTAGAGCTGGCGTCAATTTCTAGCCGAAATGGTTTGTCAAAGTCCGCGTATCCTAATATCGGCGTCTCTGTCAAAGCCTTTTTCAAGAGCTTAAACGAGTTCAGGCATTCATCAGTCCATAATTCACCTATCAGTTGTGTTTTACCTTTCTTTTTCTCCTTACTGTGTTTCTTTGTCATTTTGTTTACCAAGTCATGCAACGGTGCGGCAATTTTTGCAAAACCAGGTACAAATTTTCTATAATAGGAAGCAAAGCCCAAGAATGATCTGACCTCTACCGTGGTTGTTGGCTGTTTCCATTCTTTAACAGCTGCAATTTTATCTGGGTCAGTGGCGATGCCATCCGACGAAATCACATAACCCAAAAAACGTACCGATTTCAGACCGAAGCCGCATTTGTCTGGGTTCAGCTTTACTCCTATCTCCCTAAGACGGAGAAACACTTGTTCTAATCTTTTTAGATGGTCCTCCCAAGTTTTTGAGTAAACTAGTATATCATCCAAGTACACCAACATTATTTGAAATAGAAAGTCACTCATAGCACTCTGCATTACTCGCTGGAATGTAGCAGGCGCATTAGTTAGACCAAACGGCATACGGGTCCACTCGTACAGTCCCAGTGGAGAAATAAATGCAGTCTTATGTTGATCGTTGGGGTGCATGGCCACTTGGTGGTAGCCTCTAGCCAAATCCAAGGTAGAAAAAAAACTTGCTCCCCCCAACGCATCAAGACATTCATCAATACGAGGCAAGGGGAATGCATCCCTTCTTGTGATATTGTTCAATTTCCGGTAATCACAACACAGTCTTATCTCCCCTGACTTCTTTTTTACCACTACTATCGGTGCCGCATACGGGCTCGTGCTGGTTGTAATAATTCCCTTTTTTAGTAGATCGTTCAGGTGTGCTTTCACCGCCGAGTAGTGACTTGGTGGTAATCTTCGATAAGGTTGCGCCACAGGCCTGTCCTGTAGTAAGGGTATCTGGTGTTTTATTACTTCCGTGTAACCCAAATCACCCTCGTACGAGGCAAATATATCCCTGTACTTATTCAGCAATTCATTTAGTTTTGGGTCCTCAGTTTCCGGGAATGTATATGATCGGCCATCCTCTTTCTTCACCTCGGCCGTCACATTGACCGACCTAATTGTTACTTCATTACTGCTGGTATTGCTCAGTTCGATGCACTGTGCCGACCTTTGTACCTCGACGTTCTGTGGTACTCCTACCAGAGTGTTAGGCGGTATAAAAATTTCCTCATCCAAAACATTTGCCACTAATCCTTGAACTAGTCCATTTTCCGCTGATGTGTATGTCCGCAGTAACACGACGCCTGCCCTCAGTGCGGCGCCACATGGTTCTATCATCACATCACCATTCACGCTTCTATCACCAATTTGTAATGTGATTGCCTTGACCGTGTTTGCCGGGACTGATATCCTTCCTCTGGTCTTGGCAAACCTGGCCAACTTGGATCCCCGACCTGGTGTGGTCGATCCGACAATATTTGTAAGAAATTCTGGCAACTGGCCAAGAATATTCATGCCCAACAGGCAAGGTATATTTGACACATTTGTCTCTAGGTTGTGTTTCGTAACGAACACCCCAACCTGCTTCAACCTATGTCCCGCCACCACGACATCCGCCAGAAAATAACCACAGTATGGAATGGTTAGTCCATTAGCTGCCGTCAGGCGCATGCATGTGTCAGACCTCAACCTATGGTCTTTTCCTTTCATCCATTTGGTGTAAAAATTTTCCGTAATTGTCGTCACCTGGGAGCCTGTATCCACAATTGCCTTCACCGCGATGTCCCCAATCGTAATCACCATTTCGGGACAGACTCCCATCATTTTGTTTCTTGGGCCATAACCTCGCCCCTCTGTAGCCTGGCCCTGCCTTACAGAGGACGACCGTTTCCCTGACAGTACCGTGCCATATGTCCGGGTTGTGAACAGGACAAGCAAATTGGTCGACCGTCAGCCGTCCACCGGAGCGATGGACCGGCGGGTCGCGGCCGTCCAACCTGTCTCTGTTTTGTCCCGTTCTTTTCCTGATTCTCAGCTGTTGACCTGCTTTCTAACCTCTCCAATCGTTGGTCAACCTTATCCAGGTGGGCCAACAGTTGAGCCATCATGGTTTCCACCGTGCCGGTCCCTGTGGGTGGGGATTGTTTATGTTCCGGCACAGAGACTTTGTCCACCGAACAGTTCGATTGGTCCTCATCCTCGGACCTGCGGATCGCTGAGTTCCTGACCTGAAGGAAGGTCAACTGCGGGTCTTTGTGGACCTCCTCTTTCAACTCTCTCCTTAAGATCGGGGTTGCTAGCCCCTCGATGAAATGGTCCCTCAGTAGGCGTACATCAATGTCAGGTGTTTTGCCCTTTACCGAATCAAAGGCCCTGTTCATTCGGTGTAAATACTCCATCACACTCTCCGCCATTCTCTGCTTTAAGCCTACGAACCCCGATAGCAGTTGCGATCCCGACCGTCTCTCCCCAAAGGTCTCCATAATTAGATCCAGCACCTTATCTGGATCTGATTGGATGGTTTTATCGTGGCATTTGACCTCTGCCCTAACCGTCTCTCCTATACTGCCCATCAGCAGTCTTAATCTTTCCTCTGGTGACATGTGTCTCGAGGCCCAGGCCGCTTTGACCTCTTCACTGAACCTGTTGGTTAAAGCTGGATCACCGTCCCCGTAAAATTTGTTAATGTGGGACTCTCTGGGCAGGACCACAATATGGGTCTGCTTCTCGTCCAGAGTAGACATTTTATTCCTTGAGTAAAAAAAAAAAAGAGTTCTTTCTTACCGTGTGTGTATGAAAAATTTTCCTCGTTCCTCAATTTTCACTGCTCCTGAATGTCCGAATTCACACACACACGAAACACAGTTATGAACAAGGTTGACTATGGGTGCCTCAAGCGGCAGGTCTCGTTGAATTCATCCTGTCCGCAGCGCCAAATGTAACGAGACTATTTGCCTGTAGTGCCAAATGTTAACGAGTTCTGCTCGACAACGCCAAATGTTACCGAGTCTAACCACTCATTCTACACAACATCGACCACAGTATAGATACTCGAAGATGCAGGTTCTCTATTGATCCTTTTATTACATGAATCAAAGAAATGCTTCACAATAATATAATGAATCAAAAGGAATGCTTCACAATAATAGTCTGAATCAACTGACCCCCAACAGTCCTCACTAGTCTTCACATAACTGAATGCACATGTCTATCGTCCTTCTTAACACAATACGGCTAACCCGTTCAATAACCAACTTGATACTGCCACACTGACTGACTGATCGAGAGAGAGAGACACACCGCGAGCTCAGCCGTCGCCTTCCTATATATCCCCTTCGTATTCGTAATCGTATTCGGTTCTATCATAATCGTAATCGTAATCGATTCTAATCGTTGCATCAGAATGTTAATTACGCCGCTTCTGTCGTACAGTCCGATTTAATAAGCCATCTGCATCCTGTCACATCAAAGTTGACAGACCGTATTGCGTTCTTATCGTATCGCTTCCCAAGATACTACGCCTTGGCTTTCTGATCGTTATCAGCCAACACCTGCGTTATTGCATCAGTCGTGTCAAAGTTGACAGCGCTGTACCGCGTTCTTATGTCTCTGGTAACTTCCCCTAGTTACATATATATATATATATATATATATATATATATATATATATATATATATATATATATATATATATATATATATATATGTTAAACGCCTACTGCTAAAAAAAATTAGAAGAAGAAAGGATCCCATAGCATGCCGTAAAAAAAGACAAAAGTTAATCAAACTACTCCATGATAGACCAAGGCAGCATCTGGTCTGATCGTCTTAAGAAACTATTGAGGTAAATAAAAAATATAATGTACATGTTGTCCTACTTGTTAGTGATATTATGCTGAGAAGTTTGAAATAATTACACAAAGGTCGCCTGTACCTTGAGACTCGTGTGTCTTGCTGTCGCTGCTTGTCTTTATACAAGCCCTTGTTGACATGTAGATGGTACAGATGATGATGAGACTGATGTCTAAGGCGAGCATCAACATATCAATGGAGATCTGAAAATTATTATTTACATTTCATTAGACAGATTTTTCTCTTCATGTGTATGTATATTTATGCACACACACATGCACAAACACACAGACATATATATATATATATATATATATATATATATATATATATATATATATATATATATATATATGCATATGCATATATAGGGACTATATATGTAAACATATAAATAAGTGCGTGTGTATGTGAGTATGTGTATGTGTGAATGTATATTCTAAGACTAGTACGTATGTATATATACGCATTTAATTTTCTATGTTGTACTATTCTTCCTTTCGCCCCCTCAACCCCCTCCTTCTGCCTATCTACGCCTCTGTCTCCATCGGTTGACTAAATGCAGTATAAATAACATAGCTAGATTAACTAACGAGAAATAACGAAAACGCCGTAACGCACCACAAGGATAACCTGCATGGATAACACGGCCCCAGCAAAACTGACCAAGTCCACCACAAGTGAGATTAGAAGAACTGACCAAATACTGTTGGCTGAGACTGGACATAGCTGGACCAGAAACCTTCAAGACAAAGACATATAACATCAGTAAACAAAATACAAATGTACGTCATTTCGTTATATAGCCACTTCAAGGTTTCATTAATCAGATGCTTGGAAGCTAGGAGTGGAACACAGCGTCGAAATGACACTTCAACGATATTAAATTGCCGCGGGATGGGACGTTGAGTGCTAATACATCGCCTGAGTGTCATACATATCTTTATTTCATTAATACGACGTAGACATTTCGTGTCAGTGTTATTTCATTGCCACAAGGAAAGCGATATATTTTGTTTTCGATGGATTGTGAGCAGAGCTTTCACAAATTATGACCAGTAGAATCAGCCAATGTAATTTTTTTAACGAGATATTTAATATACAATATCCCGGTGAAATTAGGCCTTTATAAATTGGTATATGCCTTAACTGTATTGGCCCTTTAGCTCAGCGAGTGAATAATAATATTTTAGTTCTAAATCCATCGTTAGGTTTGCAATTCAAGAAAAATTTATATAAAACTATATTTATAGAAGAAGAAGCAAGTGTTTTTCAAACTTTGTAATTCTTATACTGTATTTAACAACAACAACAACAACGACAAAAAAATAATGAAGAGGAAGAGGAAAATGTTGGTATCGATGTAAAGATCAATGAAGTGTGGCGCCAATGGATAAATGATAAGTCTTTTTATAGTGAGTTAGTGAAACTAAAGGTATAATGCTGACCACACCATCCCTTCATATGCCGAGTTCAAGAAACTTATGAACTCTACTTTAGCTACCAACGGATCCGTATATATGCATATATATATATATATATATATATATATATATATATATATATATATATATATATATATATATATATATATATATATATATATATACACATATATATATATGTAAGATCCCATCACCGATTACAATAGTTAAATTCTTCAGGTAACTTCTACTATTCCTAATTTTTAACTCACATTATCCATCCGACAGCCCATGTTACTACACACAAGGAGCCAATCACATAACCCGTTACATGCCTCGGTGACTGTAAACATTCAGCAAAAGTCAGCCAAACCCATTGGACGCCGTCCTCACAAGCCAACAATGGAATCTCTTTGTCCGCCATGTTGTGTCTTCTGTAGCTTGCTAAAAATTCCTAAAGGACAGAAAAGTTTTGGTATCAAATTGATGATTCTTCTGTAGCTTGCTAAAAATTCCTAAAGAACAGAAAAGTTTTGGTATCTAATTGATGAATCTTCTGTAGCTTGCTAAAAATTCCTAAAGGACAGAAAAGTTTTGGTATCAAATTGATGATTCTTCTGTAGCTTGCTAAAAATTCCTAAAGAACAGAAAAGTTTTGGTATCAAATTGATGAATCTTCTGTAGCTTGCTAAAAATTCCTAAAGAACAGAAAAGTTTTGGTATCAAATTGATGAATCTTCTGTAGCTTGCTAAAAATTCCTAAAGGACAGAAACGTTTTGGTATCAAATTGAAGATTCTTATGTAGCTTGCTAAAAATTCCTAAAGGACAGAAAAGTTTTAGTATCAAATTGAAAGTTAGAAAAAAAAAAACAGTTCGCACTTTGTAGTTTTGCTCAATCAATACATTTCTTCTTCTGGGTTATAAAACAAAACATTCTCTTAGCTCGTGATTTAACAAAAAGTAGAAATTCTTTTTGCGCTTGAATGAACAAAAACTAAAAATTCTCCTGGAGCTTGGTTGAACTTAAAAATGAAAATTCTCTTTTTTTCTTTAATTCTGATCTAGTAGCCCTTATTGGGATCGATTTACGTTACAATATGTAACAATGTTATGGCTATAATTACTGTTGTCAGTTTTTATACTATCCTTAATCACCTTACAGTATAAAATACTTAACGGACGCTTTATAAATGTTTCTCCAGTGTTTGTTATATGTTTCAGTGTATAGAAAACTGCACAATGAATGGAATTGATTTTATCAATGAGCTCACACATCTTTAAATAGGTGTGGGACGGGGTGGCCTAGCAGTAGAGCACTAGACCACAAATACCTTAGTCTCGAGTTCGAATCCGGGTTCAAGTCCGCAGAACGTCCTTGAGTCCACCCAACTCAGACGGGTACCTAACTCACGTTTTGGAAAGTAAAGGCGGCTGGGCATGTTTTGACCACATTATCCTTTCAAATGCCGTAGTCAAGAAACACATGAACTTTACTTTATCTGTCCGATGAATCGCTCGGTCTAAAGAAGAATCTTTCCTTTTTTATTTTTAAATAGGTGCCCGTCTTAATATACCTGGTCATATTTTTGTTCGTAAAAGAAATTGACTTCTAATTTTACCTGGACGTCAATAAGCCAGCCCAGCTTTTTGGGGTACCCACATAACAGCTGGTTATACAGTAATTGTATAATCTTTTCCCGTTCGTGCCCAAGATACATGGGCCAGATGAAGTAGAGTTCATCTGTTTGAGTGAAACCGGCATATGAAGGGATAGTGTGGTCAGCATTGTGCCAGGCGCCTTAAATTTTCCCTAACGTATGTTAGGTACCCATCAGAGCTGGGTGGACACAGGAATGTTCTACCGACTTGAACCCGGATTTGAACACGACACTTTCTGGTTAGCAGTAGCGCTCTACCACTACATCAAACCGTCCCATCACAGTGGTTGTATAATCCCATAAAATGCTTTAGAAAAGAATTATTTCACAATCTGGGTTACACGTACCCTTTCAGCGCCACTGTACTATCTTCTAAGTAACGAGCAGAATTCATCTGCTGGAAGTTCAAATCGACAGATCAGAAGATTAGCAATGTTTAGTTCAGAGATAAGCTTACGCTAAACTTGAATACTAAAGTACTAAAATTTCAATCAATAACTCGATGACCATAAATGGAGATAAGCTTGGGGTGTTGACAGAAAAGTTTAAGGAAAAAGCTGGTGGTTGGTATGTTTAGGAGAGAAGGGTGTGTGTGTGTGTGGTGGGGGGGGGTGGTATGAAGGGTGGTTGGTGTTTGTGTATGGTGGCGGTGGGGGTGGAATAAGTGATGGTTCGTGATTGTGAAAAGAGGGTGTGTGGTGGGGGTGGGGGTGGGGGTGGTATGAGGGGTGATTGGTGTGTGTGTGTGAAACAGATAATGTATGTGGCAGTCTAAGTGACAAGGCGTGAGAGTTTGTCTGTGTTGCCGTGTGTGTGTGTGTCTCAATGTATGTGCGGGACTGTAAACAGTCATGTGTGATTGAGGTTATGAGAACGCTGATGTGGATGATGTGTGTTACAGCCTTTGTGGCTGTGTGTCTCGGTGTATGTGCGGGAGTGTAAACAGGTCTGTGTGAGTGTTTGCGTGTGTGTGTGTGACTGACTGCGCATGACTATGCTTGTTTGACAGGGATTCTGTGTGAGTGAGTGTGACTCCGTGTGTTATAGTATGTGTTGGCGAGTGCAGCATAGTGTGAGGCAACGTGTCTATCTCAACATACGACCGTATGTGTGCGTGTTGTGAGGAGGTGGGAGAGGGAGAGAGGGGGGCATCATGTCTGTATGTTTGACATACAATCCCACCTCCAATCGATGTCCTAAAAACGTGTCTAAGAAAACGACCGTCACCAACAGATAGATATGGATTTACTTGTGAGTAAATACGGTAATCCAGTGACCTTGACCCACTCCACTTACCGTGTATTCAACTACAACACGTCTGCATTCGTTGTCGACGTTTTCAAGTCAGTATGGTAATGATAGCGGGACGGCGTGGCCAAGCGGTGGAGCGCTAGACTGCTAACCCGAGAGTTTCGAGTTCAAATCCGGGTTCAGGTTAGTGGAACGTCACTGAGTCCATCCAGTTCTGATGGGTACTTAACTTACGTTAGGGAAAGTATAGGCGGCTGGGCATATTGCTGACCACATTATCCCTTCATATGCCGAGGTCAAGAAACAAGAACTTCACTTTATTTGCCCAATGAATCGTTAGGTCTAAAGAGGAATCCTTACTTTATGGTAATGATAGACAGCAAGCTGTCTGACGAGTTTTTATATAAGGGTCACAGCTAAAGGAATTTGAACCTAAACGCTAAGAAAATAAACCGGGAGTGATCTCCCCTAAACTTTCTCAAATACTCTTATATAAAATAACGGGGGATGGGAACTCGGGCGATAGACATGATTTTTAATCCATTTTAAATACTTAAATACTTAAAGTTTTAAAAATAGAATAAAATCTCGTAGACAAAAGAATTGCACACCAAGTGAACGCCAAATAAAAAAAGTGCACAATAAAGCGCAATATTATTAGTACTTTATAAATTTACATGGGTTTTTTGAGAAATCGGAAATAGCGTAAATTAGTACTTCCGGTCAACGGAAATTGCTCAAAATTTAACAGAAGGTAGAGAATTAGATCTTTTACTTACGTGTGAAATTTCATGTATCTATATGAAATAGTATTCAAATTATAGGCTTTTGAAAAATTCAAAGTAGAAAAAGTACCACTTCCGGTTATCGGAAATCGCTCAAAGTTAATAAGGATCTACGATTTTGATAAAATACTTATATATGAAATTTCATCAACCTAGCTGTTAAGGTACTCAAGTTATCATGTTTACACACAGGCAGACAGGCAGACAGACAGACACACAGACATACGGACAAGATTGCAAAACTATGTTTTTCCGTATCAGTGAGGTGTAAAACGTCGAGATTTGTAAAAATCTCGATTTTTTTTGCACGATTACAAGACTTTCTCTATACTTCGTATATATGAGAAAGTAAAAAAGACGCAGCGTTGCCCCACTAGGGTAGGCAAAACGTAGGACAGATAAACTAGAAGAGTTACTGCTGTTAAAAGCTTGTGACGGTATGGACGGTCGGTAGAGTATCCGAAAGCTATCCCAAAAATCTCGAGTTTGTATCACGGGTTCTTTTCTGTAGAGCGTCCAAAGCCCACCTAGATAGGATGGGTACCTGACTCACCTTAGGGAGAGTAATAACGGCTAAATTTTCGAGAGGGGGTGGGGGGCGGACTAAAATTATCGGGGGGGGGGGGGGCAGGCACGGGTAAAAGTATATAATTTTTATATAAATTCTATTTGTTGGGAGGGGCGGGGGGGGGGGGGGGGGCGGTAAAGATTTTTCGGCGTGGCTCTGCCCCGTTATTTCTGGGATATATTCTATAGGGCAGCTTCTGTATGCGCATTACAACAATTGTTTCTTGCTGTTTTTATTAAATAGAGCCACGAATGGTCCTGTTTGCTAGTACTAGGATTTAAAAAAAACAACACTATATGGGCAGATACGTAGCGGCCCTTCCCGGCGCCCGGGGACAAAATTTCGATTTGCATCCCCCCCCCCCTCGAACTTTTCATTTGCACCGCCCCCCCCCCCCTCAAATTTTCAATTTGGCGCCCCGCCTAAGGGTCGGCGCCCGGGGACATATGTCCCCCCCCCCCCCGCCCCCCCCCCCCCCCCCCCCCCACTCGCTACGCCTTTGTATATGGGTTAAAAATGCGATTTCCCTGACAGGCGTTTGACTGTAGTCGTTAAGCTCGTAATATATGTTGAGGATGTTCATACATCTGGGTATATAATCTTTCACAAACCATGATGAATGGTTTTGTTGATACTCCGTAATACATAAAGCAGCACTTGCGCAACGTTAAAGGGCGATAAACCAACGTATCGGATAATATACGTTAATATTGTATAGATGGGTAACTTCCCTATCGACCGGCATTATAGTTAATAATTAGAGGTCAAGGTTGTTGATACTTTGCGTATTTTTTGTGCGAATTGAAAAAAAATATCATGTTGTAAACTACATTCAACTAATCAATAAACCTATTACAATTTTGTGTTCCTAAAAATAAACAATGAATGTATTGCTGTAATCAACCAGGCACCTACACTATAAAAAAAAAGTTCCTATCTTAAAACCCAGCTTAACCTTAATCCCACCCCTAACCCGATTTTTACAACACAATTCCGCGAAAGCTAATAACGTAATCCAATATTTTGATACAATATAAAAAAAATCTACATAAGAATTAAATAACTTTTAAATACGAATAACAAACACAAAGACGGATTGCAGTAAAAAAAAAAAGCGTATGTATACATCGCGAGCTCCCGATAAGACACGAACATCAAGAAGAGCATCTGTTCCAT